ATGTGGGCTTCTGGATCAGCCTGAGTTCACAGTGAAAACTTATATAAAAAAAAAAATCTAAAACCAAACAAAACAGAAAGAATTAGAATTTGTGAGTACTGAATGGAGTAGGCTGTGAAGAGCTAGACACCTGTAAGCACCCTGTGCAGAGTGGCTGGGGGACACGGGCGTCACAGTGGCGGTGGCAGGGGACACGGGTTCTACTTTCTTTCGTCTGAGTCAGTTTGCTCTACTCTGGTTCTGCTCAGGTTCAAGATACTAACTTTGAACGGTGCTTGTATTTTGTTGTTAATCTGGTTTCTCACATTTGTTTTTTTCTGTGTACATCATTGAATATTGAACCCAGGTCCTCACAAATCTCACAAATACTTGACAAGTGTTCTGCATTGAACTACATTCCCAGATTTTAGAAATATTTGGTGTGTGTGTGTGTGTGTGTGTGTGTGTGTAGGGCACAGGTCCATGCTGGATGTCTTCTTCCTCTCCCACATTTAGTGTTTTGAGTATGTCTCACTGAACCTAGAGCTCTGGGATCCAGTTGTCCTCCTCCCAGTGTTAGGGTTACAGACTCAGGGTTTCTAGTGCTGTGAAGAGACACCATGACCGTGGCAGCTCTTATAAAGGAAAACATTTAATTGGGACTGGTTTACAGTTTCAGAGGTTTAGTCCATTATCATGGAGGGACGTAGTGGCGTGAGGTAGACATGTGACCTGAGACACTAGGCAAGGCTTGAGCATATATGAGACCTCAAAGAACACATCTACCATGACACACTTCCTCTAACAAGGCCACGCCTCCTCCAACAAGGCCACACCTCCTAAGTGCCGCTCTGTATGAATGTGTGGGTGCAGTTACATTCAAACCAGGGCTCAAACTGTGACACTGGCTTTCACACGGGTTCTGAAGATCTGAGCGACAGAACTCAGGCTTACGTGACAGGTACTTCAGTGACTGCCACCTCCCTAGCCCCAGCATTTTTAATGTTCCAAGCTGTCATTTAATTAGCCCATGTGGTGGTGACACCTGTCACCCCAGCACTTGGGAGGTAGAAGTTGGGGGTCAGTCAGCCAGGGCCAGCCTCTGCTGTGTAGTGAGTCTGAGGTTGGGGGTCAGTCAGCCAGGGCCAGCCTCTGCTGTGTAGTGAGTCTGAGGTTGCCTTGGGCTACACGAGACTCTGTCTCAGAATACAGGATTTAAAAGTACCAGTGAGTGTGCCCAGCATGTAAGTGCTGTAAGGATGGAGTCTCACTGGTCTCTCCGTGCCTGCCCCTCCCTCAGGAGTTGTGTGCTAGTTAACCCATTGTGAGGACACACCTGCTGTGAGAAGACAGCACATGGGGGACTCCCATCTGCCACGTGACCACGTTTCCCAAAGCCGTGGCCGCCTCACCGCTTGGGTCCCACTCGGCCCCTGACTAGCAGCCTCCCCTCTAGACTGGTTGTCTTCCGCAGGCAGTCAGAGTCTTCACACTTTGTCCCTCCCCCATTTATTTCCCAGTTCATGTCCCTCTTCCCGTCCTGCTGTAGCTGACAGGCCAAGACCATGCTTGTCTTTCTGAGTTACAGATGAGCCTCTGTCCCTTCCTTGCTTCTAACCTCTTGTGGTTTCCTGTTGCCTAGAGCAAAGACCTACAGGGTAATTGTGGGCTGCTGGCTGTTCACCTGGGGTTTGTTTTAGGTGTGTTTGGGGACAGGAGATGGCTCAGAGTATAAATTACTCTTACAGAAGGCCCGGGTGGGAAGGTTCAGTTCCCACCACCCACAATAGCATCTCACAACTACCTGTAACTCCAGCTCCAGGGCATGGGATGTTCCCTTCATGCCTGTGTGGCTTCTTCATGTATGTGTATCATTCATACACTCAGGCACATACACACACAGAAAATAGTATTTAAAAAATTTAAAGGCTCATTTATTTTTATCTTATGTGAATGAGTCTTTCATGCATGTATGAATGTGTACCACATGTGTGCATGGTACCTGAGGCCCTAGAGAACATTAGATCCCTAGAACTGGCCTTACAGGTGGTAAACGTCAACAATAGAGTCATCTTGAAGTCTTAGTTCTCAGTGTGACGCTCTGTCCCCTCCCATGCTTTCCATGCTTCTGGGGTCTTGGTGTTCTGAGCCTTTTCTCCTTAGAGGTCTTTAGTTGGCTGCTGCTTTATAGCCAGCAAAATCTCACTCTCCTTCCTTCCTTTTGGTTTTTTGAGTCAGGGTTTCTCTGTATTGATTTGGAGGCTGTCCTGGAACTAGCTCTTGTAGATCAGGCTGGCCTCAAACTCACAGAGATCCATCTGCCTCTTCCTCCTGAGTGCTGGGACTAAAGGGGTGTGAAACCACACTCTTTAGTGAGGTCCACATTCCCTTTCTGGGATGGAGCTCTTAGCTGCCTTTCTCCACCGTGGCTTTGGGACCAGTGAACTTCATTGTTGAGACCCAAGACGATGGATATACTTTCCTTTAGCTTTGTTACACCTCTTTTTGCATGACCCTGATCTCCTTAGCTTTCACATTCTTCTGTCCTATCCATCCCTGACCTAGGCAGTTCAAGCAGCAGGACAGTCACAGATCGGTGTGTGGAAATAGCTATGAACTCTCTGCTTCTAGAACTGCTTGCACCAGGCAGTATGGAAAATGAGTTTGATGTTGAGCTTTTTGGGAAATGAAGTTCACCTCATGTAGCCTTCAGGTACATTTCACATTAATAGTGACCTTCCTGATGCCCGGCTTTTCACTGGTTAATATTTAATCTTTTGCTAACAATCTATTAGCATGCAAACCTGCAGAATATCTTGCTCAACCTGCTAACAAGAGGTGCTAATATTGCTCTTTGTTGTTCTAGGCAGCTAACATATCAGCTGGTCAGTCACCTTGTCCGCATTGTGAGACTGGGTTTTGCTCTTTGTTAGGAAGTGTCTGGAAATCCCCCTGACTTGATGAGACAGTGCCCACAGTGGACAGCAGGTAGACTATCCCCAGCCCTTCAGCATTAGCTGGCTTCCTGGGGGTCGGTCAAAGGCATTTACACTAAAGTGTTGGGTTATCCCCATGACTTCCTGCTCGAGATGTCCTTCCTCAGTCTCCAGCTGATCTGATATCTCTAATCAGGAAAGCCAAGTTTTCTTGTGTTTCCTAGACTGGGAGTGGGGACTTAGGGTGGGTGGGATGTATAAAAGCAGGTCCCATTAGTTGAATTTCCTTGCTTGTAAGGCTGAGTCACTTCAGATTCTTGCTACTTTTGAAAAGCAATGTCCAGTGTTTCAAAATAAAGTTTTTCTTGTCTTTTTCTAGGAGTTATGATGGTTCTGAACCTCTTGGGGGGCAGTCTTTTTGTTTTTATGATGTAGTGTGCTGTTCTCTATGACTTATTTGTTTATTTTTGGTGTTTTGAGCTGATCTCACTGTCGCCCTGACTGTCCTGTAACTCACAGTGATACTACGGCTCCTCTTGCCCCTTAAGGCCTGTGCTCCTATGGGCTAGTGTGCTACACTTTTAACAGTTCTTGATTCACAGTCCCTCCTCTTCATTAACTATTGTCGCTTTATAGATTAACCTTCAGGTGCCTTTTGTTTACTGTCTGGGTTCTCTGGTAGACTTTGGAAAGGGCCCAGCCAAGATGGTGTTTCTCTGCTCCGTGTATCTGGCACCTCAGAGCATGGGGTGACACTGTGACAGCCCTCACCTACTTTACTCACACGTCTGGCCCTTGAGGCTGTTGGCAGGGACTTGGCTGGAACTGTGGTTTCCTCCGTGTGGTGGCTTTGGAGATTTTCCATGCTCACCCAGGACTTACAGAGCAGTGTCTAGAGAACCAGATGGAAGCTGCGTTGCCTGCTATGACCTAATCTTAGAGGTGGTACAGCAGAAGTCACATAGTATTACGGCTTCTTCTGTTTTGGTTGGTCAGGCTTTATTGTGTCACATTCAAGGGGTAGGACACACATTTTCCTCTCTGAATGAAAGACGTGACAAAACATTTACAGATGGCCCTTTTGTTTTTGTTTGCGTTCCCATTCTCTGGGGCTGGGTGCTGCCCCAACTCCTGCGGGTGCTAAAACCGAAACGATCCCTTAAACCCAGCAGTGCCCCCTGGTGTCCAAGTACAGTCCTACACAAGCCTCAAGGTTTTGTTTTGCTTTGTGATTTTCTTTTGTTTTGTTTTTGTGAATCAGGGTTTCTCTGTGTAGCCGTGGCTGTTGACATTCTCTCTGTAGACCAGGCTGGCCTTGAACTCAGAGATCTGCTTGCCTCTGCCTCCTGAGTGCTGGGTTTAAAGGCGTGCACCACCACCTCTGGCACAGTAGGTTCTTCCTCCTCCTCTTCCTCCTCCTCTTCCTCCTCCTCCTCCTTTTTCTCCTAGACAGGGTTTCTCTGTAGCTTTGGAGCCTGTCCTGGAACTCACTCTGTAGACCAAGCAGGACTGGAACTCACAGAGGTCCACCTGTCTCTACCTCCCAAGTGCTGGGACTAAAGGTGTGCGCCATCACCGCCCAGCAACAATAGATACTTTGTGAAGTGTAGTTTTTCACAACTATAGTAGATAAGAACTTAAGTCCATTTAGGAGTGAAATTCTAATAAAGCAATACAATATTTTATTTATTTAGTTGGTTATTTGGGACAAGGTCTCATTATGTAGCCCTGACTGGTCTGCAAATTGCTGTGTACACCAAGCTGGCCTGGAGCTCACAGAAATCTTCCCATTTGGAATTAAAAGGGTGCACCAGCACACCCAGCTAGATATATTACCTCTTGAATGCATTCCTGGGGCTGGAGAGTAGCTCAGTGGTTAAGGGCTTATAATGCTTTTCTGAAGGACCCAAGTTTGCTTACCAGCACCATGTCAGGGGCAGACCACTGTAATCCCAGCCCCAAAGGACCTTACCTCCCCTTCTGGCATCTAAGGGGCCCCACCCCCACAACACACACACACACACACACACACACACACTTAAAACTTGATTTATTTATTTATTTATTTATTTATTGGTCTTGTAGGAAACGTCGTTTAATGACAAATCCATGCTCACAGGGTAAAAATGGCCGGCTTCCTAGACAACTTCCGATGGCCAGAGTGCGAATGCATTGACTGGAGCGAGAGAAGGAACACTGTGGCCTCCGTGGTTGCAGGCATACTGGTAAGTGTGACATTATGCCTTGTATTCTTTGGAGTTAGAGCGGCGCTGCCCGGGGTAGGGAGTGTTGCTGCACAGCCTGGCAGGGTTTTCTTTCTGTGCTTGGAGGTGCAGGCCTGCTGTGCACTTCTGTCCTCTCTGCCTCTGCCTCTGCCTGGCAGCTGTTGGGGTTTCGGGGGTCTGGTGCTACCTGAGGCTTCGTGCAGCACTGGGGTTGATGTGCGTGCACAAGGCAAGGCCCTTCCTTACCCGCGGGTCACAGCCCAGCCTGACCTGATGGGTTAGTTCACGTGGAGGATGAGTTAAATTTGGTGCCCTTTCTTCAGTTGCACCGTTTGCCACAGCCTCAGAATTGGTCACTCAGAGTGGCCGTGGCTCACTGAAGATTAGCTGTGTAGACATCGGCCACGCCTTACGCTTTGTAAGAACGAAGGGGAGAAAGAAGTTTGTGGAGGAAAGTTCCCTTTTGTTTTGCTTTGAGACAGGGTCTCATGTGGTCCGTGTCCTAGGCTGGCCGCACGTGCTGGGATTGAAGGTGTGAACCCAAGAGTGGGCTTGCTTGCTTGCCTTTGTTTGTTTTACTAATTTTTTATTATGGAAAATATCAAGACTTTAAAAGAAAGTAGTTGTGGGAAGAGGAGAGGTGAAGAGGGGCTGGGAGGGGAGGGGAGGGGAGGGGAGATGTCGGTCAGGGTCTAAAACAAAAATAACGAAGTAGTAGTAACAACACCTCATGTGCATACCTGTCCCAGATCTTTTGTCTCGTTTCTGTATTTCGGGACAGTGTCTATGGTTGAGGACCTTCTTATCTGCTGGCCCTGCCTCTGCTTCCTGAATCCCAGGTTACAGATGAGAGCCACCAAAACTGACTTGATTTACTCTGTTATTGTTTTGTAAGTCATGACCCAAACAGTCTTACTTTATATTCTGTGAACCATTTTCTGCCTCTGAGGTAGAGTAAGTAGAAAAGATGGATTACAGACACTGATTTGCTCACGTATCCGGTGATCTGCTTGTTCTGTCTGTTTGCCAAGCATGACTTCACTTGCTACCTGGAACAGAATGACCTGGAGGACTAGCTGAGAAATGGGCCGTTGCCCTTAACAACCTCCTAACTGCCGTGCAGGCTTGTGTAAAATCTCACTTGCTGGCTTGACAGCCACCTTGTGGTTTTAGGTAGACAGTGAGAATGCAAACTGGACCTGGGGTCAAGACCTTTCTGGAGCTGTCCTGGCTTCTGTCTGTCTGTCTGTGGTCCTGTCCTGGCTTCCATCCATCTGTCTGTGACATCTCCTGTCCTGGCTTCCATCCATCCGTCTGTCTGTGACATCTCCTGTCCTGGCTTCCGTCCGTCTGTCTGTGGTCCTGTCCTGGCTTCCATCCATCTGTCTGTGACATCTCCTGTCCTGGCTTCCATCCATCCGTCTGTTTGTGACATCTCCTGTCCTGGCTTCTGTCCATCTGTCTGTCTGTGACATCTCCTGTCCTGGCTTCCATCCATCCATGTTTATGACATCTCCTGTCCTGGCTTCCGTTCATCTGTCTGTCTGTGACATCTCCTGTTCAGGATTCTGTCCATCTGTCTGTCTGTGACATCTCTCTTCTGCTTCTTCAAGAAAGACTCCTGCAACATCTCTACTTTGTTAACAAAACAAGTTTCAGCGTCTTTTATATTTTTGTAATATGTTTATCCCTCTCCTCTGCTTGCTTTGGAGACAGGGTCTTGCTTATAGCCTAGGCTGGTGTCAAATATGAGATTCTCCTGCCTCTGCCTCCCAAGTGTCTAATTCTCTCTCTCTCCCTCTCTCTGTCTGTCTCTCTCTCTCACTAACTTCCTTTTCTTTTTCTTGAAATAGGCCTCAGACTGTAGCCCTGGCTTCCCTAGAACTCACCCCAAAGCCCAGACTGGCCTTGAACTGCAAGGGAGCCTCTGTGTGCTGGGACGATAGTCGTGGCCCACCATGCCGTCTGCCTCCCTCCTTTGCTTTAGCCTTTTCTTCCTTTTTTTTGGTTTTTGGTTTGGTTTTTTGAGACAGGGTTTCTCTGTGGCTTTGGAGCCTGTCCTGGAACTCACAGAGATCCACCTGCCTCTGCCTCCCGAGTGCTGGGACTAAAAGCGTGCGCCACCACCGGCTCTTGCTTTAGTGTATTTGTGTGTGTGGTGCACTATGGTACACGTATGCAGGTCAGAGGATAACTTCGGGGGCTGGTTCTCTTCTACCACGTGCAGCCCTGGGGTGGAAGTCAGGTCCTCAGACCCAGAGGCATTTGTTCCCCTGCTGAGTCTGACCTCTTTTTCTTTCTTCTTTCCCACACAAGAGCTCATACATCCCAGGCTGACTTTGAACTTGCTCTGTAGCCAAAAAGCAACCTTGTATTACTTTGCCTGGTTTATGCCGTGCCAGGGATTAGACCAAGGGCCTCATGGGAACCTGAGCTCTGCCAGCTGAGCTGCGTCCCCAGCAGGAGAGCCCAGGTCTTTCATTTTTGTTTTTGGATGCAGGGTTTCTCTGTGTAACCCTGGCTGTCCTAGAACTCACTCTGTAGACCAGACTGGCCATGAACTCACAGAGATCCATCTGCCTCTGCCTCCCAAGTGCTGGGATTAAAGGTGTGTGCATCACCGCCACCCCGAGAAAGCCCAGGTTTAACTGCTATTTTACTTAATAAAAGAGTTTGGGCGGGTTGGTGGTGGCGCACACCTTTAGTCCCAGCACTACGGAGGCAGAGGCAGGTGGATCTCTGTGAGTTCGAGACTAGCCTGGTCTGTAAGAGCTAGTTCCAGGATAGGCTCCAAAGCTACACAGAGAAATCCTGTCTCAAAAAACAAAAATCAAACAAACAAACAAAAAAGGAGCTTGTACTATGTTGGTTGTATTGTCAACCAAGGTGCTTGAGTTGTTGACATGTGAGATAATATTCCTGCATGTTAGTCTTAGGCTCTGATGGAATGACTTGCATTGTGCTGTTATGTGTCACTTCTGTGGGGCTTGGGAGAGAGTTTGGAGCCTTTCCATAGATGTTTAAAATGAATTTTGAACTCTCTTAAACACTAAGATTACATAATTCTCTTAATTTTGTCAGTTTAGAAACGGGCTCTCACACCTGTCCTTAATTTCTCTGGAAAGGCTTTGGCACCTGTCTGTTTAGGTGTGCTCAGCTGGGTTGGCATGGAAACCATACATTTTATATACTCATGTCCAGTCAGCTACAGGGTGCTTAATTAAATTACATAAACTCAAACAATAGTAGGCTTTTATAACAGTCTGGGAGTTGTGACAACTGGTTGCTGCTAAGTGATCAGCCAAGCAGAGCAGCCTTCCACGGGGCCAGAGTGCCCTGCTCGGGCTGTTCAGAGAGAAGAGACCTATGGGGTCAGGGCTGGCTAGTTCAGGAGCTGCTGGCTAGTTCAGGAGCTGCTGGCTAGTTCAGGAGGCTGCTGGATAGTTAAGGAGGCTGCTGGATAGTTTAGGAGCTGCTGGCTAGTTCAGGAGCTGCTGGCTAGTTCAGGAGGCTGCTGGCTAGTTCAGGAGCTGCTGGCTAGTTCAGGAGGCTGCTGGTTAGTTACGGAGGCTGCTGACTAGTTCAGGAGGCTGCTGGCTAGTTAAGGAGGTGGCTGGCTAGTTCAGGAGGCTGCTGGCTAGTTAAGGAGCTGCTGGTTAGTTTAGGAGGCTGCTGACTAGTTCAGGAGGCTGCTGGCTAGTTAAGGAGGTGGCTGGCTAGTTAAGGAGGCTGCTGGCTAGTTAAGGAGCTGCTGGTTAGTTACGGAGGCTGCTGACTAGTTCAGGAGGCTGCTGGCTAGTTAAGGAGGTGGCTGGCTAGTTAAGGAGGCTGCTGGCTAGTTAAGGAGGCTGCTGGCTAGTTAAGGAGCTGCTGGTTAGTTTAGGAGGCTGCTGGTTAGGTAAGGGAGGCCGATGCTGAGTCCTGAGGCGGAGGGAAGAAACATGCCATTCCTGAGGAGTCTCTTACTCAGGTTTGACTGGGCATCTCACATCATCAGATGAAAAGAACAAGTAGATCAGGGTGCCTATTTTTATAACGTAATACCCAAACACAAAAGTAGAAGTGCTTTGCTTTGTTCATACTTTGGGGAGGTCGGCTGAAGAGTGGGCGTTATGAGTTTAATGTCACGCTGTCTGCGGCTCTTTCTCAGTTTTTTACAGGTTGGTGGATAATGATTGATGCTGCCGTGGTCTATCCTAAGCCTGAGCAGTTGAATCACGCCTTTCACACATGTGGTGTGTTTTCCACACTGGCTTTCTTCATGTAAGTGTGAAATGATTTTCAATTCAGAATTGTCTTTTGGAAAAAAACAGTCTTCCTTAACCTTTAATGGCTTTTTAAAAAGGACTTCTAAACTTTATGGATGGATTTTTTTTCCCTACCCTTTTTGAAGTATTTATTTACTCATAGTTATTATGTATGGGTACTCTGTTGAAGTATTTATTTACTCATAGTTTTTATGTATGGGTACTCTGTCTGCATATGCACCTGTACACCAGAAGAGGGCATCAGATACCGTTACAGATGGTTGCGAGACACCATGTGGTTGCTGGGAGTTGACCTCAGGACCTCTGGAAGAGCAGCCAGTGCTCCTAACCTCTGAGCTATGTCTCCTGCCCCACCTGTTTATTCTTTATTCTAATGAAAATGTTAAAATGGGATAACTAATTGAACCATCTGCATATACATGTATAAAATAGGTTATGAAATGAGAAGCCAGGTAGGCGGCTCACACCTTTAATCCCAGGGTTTAGGAGACAAAGCAGGTGGCTAGATCTCTGAATTGGAGGCCAGCTTGCTCTGTGTAACAGGGCTGCAACAGTGAGATCCCATCTCAAAAGAAAGAGGAGGGAGGAGGCTAGCTGCTGTCTCATAGTCTCTAGGACAGGTGATGGCTGCTTTAGGGGAAACAAAGAGTAACATTTCTATGCACTTGAATTTCTGTTTTATTAACTACTTAACTGTCAAACTCTTGGCCTAGTTAGGAAAAACTATTTCTCTTCTGAATGATATACGATACCTGCGTATATTTTACTGACCTGAAAGCTCATTGGCTGATTTTGTGTTATTCTAGGATAAATGCTGTATCCAATGCGCAAGTGAGAGGTGACAGCTATGAGAGTGGCTGCTTAGGAAGGACAGGTAAGAGCGCTTTGAGCTCAGAGGGGGAGCTCACGGGACGAGGGCGAGTCCAGAGAAAAGCTAGAGCCTCCTCAGGACAGGCCTCTTCGCTCTTTAGCTTTGTCTTGTGTGTCGAGTGTTGGCTTCAGTGTGTGTAAGTGCTCTGTATGCAGTGCCTGGTGCTAGAAGACGTCTGATCCCCTGAAACTGAGGTGTGCACATTTGAGAGCTGCCACACAGATGCTGGGAGCTGAACCTGGGTCCTCTGCAAGAGCAGCCAGTGCAGGCGGCGCTCTAATGGCTGACCCATTTCTGCAGCCCTCACCTTAGCTTCTAAGACAGGTCTCTCGTTAGTCCTGGAGTTCATCGATTTGGTTGACAGTGGGCTCCAGGGGTCTACCTGTCTACCCCGTGCTGGGGCACATGTGTGTCCTCCTACCCTGTGCTGGGATACACGTGTGTCCTCCTACCCCGTGCTGGGGCACATGTGTGTCCTCCTATCCCGTGCTGGGATACACGTGTGTCCTCCTACCCCGTGCTGGGACACATGTGTGTCCTCCTACCCTGTGCTGGGACACATATGTGTCCTCATACCCTGTGCTGGGACACGTGTGTCCTCCTACCCTGTGCTGGGACACGTGTGTCCTCCTACCCTGTGCTGGGGCACATGTGTATCCTTCTACCCCGTGCTGGGGCACATATGTGTCCTCATACCCTGTGCTGGGGCACACACGTGCACGTTTTTCTGTTACTATGTAGGTGTTGGGGATGTGCACACAGGTCTCTTGCTTGTGCAGCAAACACTCTTCTGACTGAGCCATTTCCCAGCCAGAGTCCCTGGAGTGGGTTCCACCCACACAGGACAAGTCTCCCATCTCATTTACCCCGTACAGAAACACCCGTACTGACATAGATGCATTTCCAGGGAGATTTCAGTCTCATCAGACTGACAGCAGGATTGACCATCACTCCTTTTTCAAAAAATGGGTTGGATTCACTTGAGCATCCAAATAATTGTCACTGAGGCTCTAGACGTCCGTAACAGACTGAAGAGACAGACACTTGTACCCTTGAACTCAAGAGTGTGTAGTGCAGCTTGTCTCCTTACAGCCGTAGAGCAGTCGGACTGTCCTAACAGCAGCTGCGGTGTGAGGTTTGGGTGTGCTATTAGAAGCACACGACTCAGAGGGACCCCAGATATAAACCCACTCCCACCTACTGGAGGTGGCTGTTGGTGGCAATTCTTTAATTATGTGTGCAGCAGGTGGCTTTCAGTTGTGGTTTAGTGAGCCAGTTTAGTGAAAAAGTTCAGTGTCACTTGCCTAACTTGCTCAGACATTAGTTTCTCTAGAAGTAAAGAGGTAACTTTTCTTCTTTTCCCCTTTCCACAGTGTCCAGCTCTTTAGCTTCTGCTTAGTTTTGGTGTGTGCGCGCGTGCGTGCGTGTGCGTGCATGTGGGTGCATGCGCGTGCATGTGTATGTGTGTGTGTGTACATGTGTGCACATGCACACTTTCGATCTTCATGAGGTTAAGTGTTGTAGCAGGAATACGCGTGATGCACACTAAGCCAGGCGTTTGTGGTGCTGCACGTTTGTGAGTCGGTGTAGAGCTGCGAAGTGAGGGGCATCATCCATGAAGCCGCTCTCTCTACACAGGTGCTCGAGTCTGGCTCTTCATTGGTTTCATGCTGATGTTCGGGTCACTTATTGCCTCCATGTGGATTCTTTTTGGTGCATATGTTACTCAAAGTAAGTGTGCATTCCTCCTTTGTGCTACAGGTGGGTTCATGTTTGGCTTGGTCTGTCCAGTCCATTTGGAGTAAACATCAGTGAGATTATTGAATTAGGTTAAATTCTTCCTCTGTGTGAAGACCCACTAATTAGAAAACCTACCTTTGGGTGTGGGCCGGCCCACTGGAAATCACAGCCCCAACCACTCCAGCGCCTCTTAGCAGCCTCTACAGTTTGTGACCACCTTCCCCTGGGCATCTGAGCCCTGGGGGTTGCAGTGAGAAACACTTGCAGTTCTGTTTTATCCGTCCCCTTACACCCAGAACACTGAAAATCAGGCTTCCTTTCCTAGCTTGCAATGAACCCTGATCGGGATGGACATGTGGCTCATTGTGGTCTTCACCGCATTTACTCTAAGTGCTCAGAGTGTATTATTGCAGGAGTGGACTTGAGTGAAGTGTTTGTACCCAGCTGGGGGTGCTGTGTAATATCTATTTGTTTTTAGATTGTTTCCTGACTGAGTTAGAACTCAATAGAAAGACAGTGGTAGGCAATGGCTTCTGCTTGTGTCCTCAGAGAAGCAAACAAACTGTTTCCTGTTCCTCTAGCGAAAATGGGAGTAAGCTAGCATCCCATGCAGTGTGGGAGCCTTTGTAGGGGTGGTTTGTTCTGTATCTTAATCTTAAAAACACCTCACAACGAGAAACATCTCAGTTACCGTCTCTTCTGATTTACCAGCGCTCATTCCATAAACTTCTCTACTTAAAAGCCACTGTACTTTAATTCCAGGGGCTATTTCCGACATATTTCAGATTTCTTTAAATGGCTTTTCTTACAACTGTTAATATTTATAATAGCAGCTACCATTTATGTGTACATTGACTATCTCTAATCTGAATTTTTGAAATCCAAAATGCTCCAAAATTGGAAACAGAACTGATTCAGGCGTGACCCCACTATTCCTGGAGTCAGCCCTGACCTTGTGTGAGAGGTTGCGGTCAAACAGGTGTACTAAGCCTGTCGTGATAGCGTACTCCTTTGATCCCAGCACCCGGGAGGCTGAGGCAGGAGGATCTCAGTAACACGAGTAATTTAAAGACGCAGTGACAGATATCAGGGTTCAAGCTGAGATCAGAGAAGCAAACCAGCCAGCCACTAGCCCTTACCTCTACCTCAGACTGAAACGGCAGTGCTGGCTCCACAACTACTCAGAGGGCAAAGCAGACTGCACGACTCTCCAGCAAGCCTCCAGCTGCACTCCCCCAAGTTCCGTCTCCTCCCGCCCAGCCACGTCATTCCTGTCTCCACCTCCATAGTGCTGGGATTAAAGGTGTGTGCCACACTGCCTGGTTCTTTGGCTGGCTTTGCATTTTGGTCCCCAGTGGCTTTATTAGATCATAAACAAGATGTCATCACAGATCTCTGAGTTTGAGGCCAGCCTGATCTACAGAGCGAGTTCCAGGACAGCCAGGGCTACACAGAGAAATCCTGTCTCCAAAAACTAAACCAAAACCAAAACTAAAACAGGTATACTAAAAACCTTGTCTAAAATCACTTTCAAACTGCATGTGAAAGTTTATATTGCAACACAACTGAACACATGAGTCCTGTTCCAAAGACACACATGCAAGTGTCCTCAGTCTAAAAACTGAAATCTGACCCCATTTACGAGGTATACCCTGTGGTGGGAGCCCTGTTAACACCCGATTTACAGGAGAGAAAATGAAGACACTGAGGTTTCTAACGACAGGGCAGGGCATTCGGTCAGTGACAGAATTAGACCCCAGCACCAGGAGCTCAGCTCAGACTTGGAGCTCTCCAGCAACCTGCTGCTTTGTTCTTTCTGTGCTCACAAGAGCTCGAATGTAAGCAGGCCTTTCCCATAGCCACAGTTACAGTTTACCAAAGCTCCCATCTGTGGATATATTAGCTGATGCCTTCAGTCAGGAAAAGGACAAGGTGGCCGCTTTTGTGTCACTCACATTTTGATGGTGTCACACTTGAACTCAAGAAAGTAGCTAACCGTCTTTAAATTCTGTGCTGGCTTTCCGGGCCGAAGGCTTGTTTGGCTTTCTTGCCATCTCTTCTTTTTTTTTAAAGACAGGGCCTCCCTGTTTCCCAGACTGGCCTTGGCCCCGGGCTGAAGTGGCCCTGCTTGCTGCTCCAGCCTCTTACACACTGGAGCCTCTGCACCCATCACAGCACCTTTGATGTGGTCTAGACAGAGAGAGCCCGATGAGTTCATTGACATTTGTCAAGAGTAAAAGTAGTGCTTTCTTTTATTTTGGTTTTGTTTTTTCCAGACAGGGTTTCTCTGTGTTTAGCTTTGGAGCGTGTCCTAGATCTCCCTCTATAGAACAGGCTAGCCTCAAATTCACAGAGATCCGACTGCCTCTGCCTACCGAGTGCTGGGACTAAAGGATTGTGCCACCACTGCCCGTCATAATCTTTTGTTTTAGGGAATGAAATTGTTTGTTTCTCTGTAGACATGGTAGAGGTGATGCATAGATGTTCTGTATCCTGATGCACCCAGCCTGCCACTCAGAATGGCCTGGACACCGCCATTACTGTCTGTCCTCTAATCTGCCTGTTTTTGTATGCAGATATTGATGTTTATCCCGGACTAGCTGTGTTCTTTCAAAATGCTCTTATATTTTTTAGGTAAGTTGTCTAATGTCCTTTATTCTCTTTCAATGTTTAAGAAAGATTTAGTTTTTATCTTGAGTGCCCTCATGAGGAGGTCTGAAGAGGTCATCAGATCCCCAGCAGCTGGAAATTGTAGGTGGTTGTGCCACCCCCAGTGGGTGCTGGGAGCTGAATCCTGGTCCTCTGCAAGAACAGCCAGTGCTCCTAACTGTTGAGCCGTCTCTCCAGCGCCAAGTTGTCAACCTCTCATTTACACGTAAAACATTTACAGAAATGTCAACAGCATCATGGCCGTGAACATTAGTGAGAGCCTTTTAACCAGGGGTCCTGCTGTGTGCCGAGACCTGTTCTTCTGGATGCTTCTATGCTGCCCTTTAAGTTCCTGCCACTGCTTGAGTACCAGGTGGTGGTCTTGTTTCATCGAGATGTACTCAGAGTAGGGACTTAAATCCAGACTGTTGCTGCCATAGTCCGTGCTGTGCTTACCAAATCATGTGTATTTATAAGAAAGAGAAAGATCCAGGGCCTGGAGGCACACTCGCTCAGTCCCTGCGCTCAGGAGGCAGAGGCAGGGGATCTATGAGTTTGGGGCCTACAGAGCTAGTCCAGCCCTGAAGACCTTTGTTATTGCCCTCTAGCTGTAGCAATATGGCTGTGGTGTGGTGCAGTTTTCTTCATGTTTCATTGCATTAAAAATATCAATTTATAGATTATATAAAATTCAGACTTTTTTGTTTTTTATTTACTAACTTTTTAAAATTTTTTTTTATTTAAATTTGAAACAAGCTTGTTTTACATCCTTTTTCTGCTCCCCAGGGAGGGTGAAGCCTTCCATGGGGGATTTTCAAAGTCTGTCACATCATTTGGAGCAGGGCCTAGGCCCTCCCCCATGTGTCTAGGCTGAGGGAGTAACCCTGTGTGTGGAATGGGCTCCCAAAATTTAGAATTTTTAAAGAATTATTTGTTGTGTATTTATATATTGTTTTGCCTGCACGTACACCTGCAGGCCAGAAGAGGGCATCAGGTCTCTTTACAGACGGCTGTGAGCCACCTGGTTGTTGGTAGGAATTGAACTCAGGACCTCTGGAAGAGCAGTCAGTGTTCCTAACCTCTGAGTCATCTCTTCAGCACCAGAATTCATACTTTTAAACTAGTATTTCTTTGGTTGTTTTCCTGTCCATCTTGTCTTCCTTAGGTTCCAGGTATTGTAACACTAGGTAGTGATGACCACTCCTCCTCCACGGCTTCCTCTCCTTCCTCCCTCCTGCTCCTCCCTTCCCCCTCCCCTCCTCTGCATCTCCTCCCCTCTTTCTTCTTCCTTCCCCCTTCTCTTCCTCTACCCCCCCAACAATACAGGGTCTTTCTGCGTTGCCTCTGCTGGCCTTATCTCCCAGTTCCCATGATCCGGCCTCAGCCTAAGCAGCCGAGGAGCCATGGTGCCCAGCTCTTACGTCACACTTACAGAAGCTGCTGCAGCTGCGTGGCCACCTGTGCCTGTCCTGTCCTGTCCCTTTCCACTGCCTTCTCTCTGTGCCGTGTGGGTGGTTCCCAGTGCCAGGCTGGCTGAGCTGAGGTCTTCAGTGTCCACGGGGGCTGGCTGCTCATTCCAACAGTTTCCGGTCCTAGAAGCTCCAGTTCAGGGCTTTTGGTGTGTTCCTCAGCATGCTTGTGTTTCTGTTTGTGTGAATCCACCTGATGTCACATTTAAACATTGTCCTTGTCATTTATTATTTCTATGATTTTTCAGTTTGGGATGTTTTTTCCCATTTGTAGCTTTCCATGCAGTTGGTTAGGATTGTAGTGTTTGGTAATCTGTTTGACACAGTGTTTTTGAGCCTAGGTTTCATGGATACCAGCCTGGCCTCAAGCTCACCAGAGCTGAGGATGACCCTGAATTCTGGATCCTCCTGCCTCATCTCGCAGGTGGTGGGCTGATGGGTTAGGTCCTTCTTATCTGTTACGATAGACACCACAGGCCACTCCTCCCCAATGTGCTTTTATGGTTGGACTTTGACATGCATTGGTCATCTCCCCCATTAGACTTCCACAGGGAGTGTGTTTGTTCGTTTTGAGTCAGCCATATCCCAGCCCTTAGCCAGAGGCCTGGTGCAGTCCAGTATTTAGCCATGATACATTGGTAAGGAGCGGTCTGTTTGAGGATGTTTCCATGCCCAAAGCACAGATAAAGGTGCTCTTAGAGCTGTAAAGCGGCCTTGTACCCACCGACCTCCATAAGGCTGCCCCTCTCTCAAACATGCTTCCCATGCAGTGACTGTCCAGGCATTGTGGGGTGTTCTTCACCCCCAGACACACTTAGCATATCGCTCACGACGCCTCTGGTCCTGCATTTGGCTTTTGATGTTGATAAACAGTGACTTCACTGATGGGCTTGCCCCTTGGAGCCTTAGGATGTGGACTCCATGGTGCCTGTCCATGTCACCTCACAGCCTTGTTCATCCCTTTCTAGCACTCTGATCTACAAATTTGGAAGAACTGAAGAGCTCTGGACTTGAGATCCGGTCACCTCTCAAATCGCACCCTCCTCCTGTTCTGTTCTCCGCGTAGATTACTTTATCTCTGGTATAATTTATACATTGCCAAATGGAACAGAGTGTGCACTCAGGGTTCCGTTTTGTCACAGTTTTAGGCCCCAAGTTTTGAATCGCTTTTGCAAAATGTCTGTCTTGACTTTTTCATTGATTAGACAACTTAGTATGTACATAATACATGACTACTGAACACATGATACCTGATGCTAAATGTCAGGATTTTTATTCTAAGATTGGTGTGTATTCTGAGCCAGGGTCCTATTGTCTTGGTGTTTAGGAGTAAATACTCTGTCTTCGTATCTGATGTTTGAAAATGTGCAAAATATTCAGCTCCGTGACTCTAAGAGAAGCCCTGAGCTATTAGAGAAGGCATTTCTGCCTGTTGTAATTTATTTTGGCTTGGAAATAAGACTTTTTAAAGAAAAAAATGTTTGTGCTTATGCTTATGTACGCACTAGAGAACTGGACATTTTATATGAAGATTTTTAAATGGCCAAAGGTCTAGTTTGAAAGCCTTTAGAAGAATTTCTCTAACATGACTTTTATTTGATTCTCAGCAGAAGTTCATTTTTGAGTGGGCAGCTGAGCAATGTGTTCCCGTCGCACCACACGCCCTCAGTGCTCCCTCTCACACGCCCTCAGTGCTCCCTCTCACCACACGCCCTAGTGCTCCCTCTCACCACACGCCCTCAGTGCTCCCTCTCACCACACGCCCTCAGTGCTCCCTCTCACACGCCCTCAGTGCTCCCTCTCACCACACGCCCTCAGTGCTCCCTCTCACGCGCCCTCAGTGCTCCCTCTCACCACACACCCTCAGTGCTCCCTCCCACACGCCCTCAGTGCTCCCTCTCACCACACGCCCTCAGTGCTCCCTCTCATCACACGCCCTCAGTGCTCCCTTCCACACGCCCTCAGTGCTCCCTCTCACCACACGCCCTCAGTGCTCCCTCTCACACGCCCTCAGTGCTCCCTCTCACCACACGCCCTCAGTGCTCCCTCTCACCACACGCCCTCAGTGCTCCCTCTCACCACACGCCCTCAGTGCTCCCTCTCACCACACGCCCTCAGTGCTCCCTCTCACGCGCCCTCTCACACGCCCTCAGTGCTCCCTCTCACCACACGCCCTTAGTGCTCCCTCTCACACGCCCTCTCACGCACCCTCAGTGCTCCCGGGTTATTGTCTTACATGGCTCGGCAGCATCTGCACACACTCAAGCCAGTGGCCCTGACACAGGTGTAGTTCAGTGTCACAAGAAGCGGGACCCTGAGTTGCAGATAAAGACTTCTTCCGGAAGGGCACTATGGCCTAGTGAAAAGGCAGGCACTTGATTCCCTTAGTCCTTGCCTCCCTGTGCTGTAGCCTTCAGACAGTGCTGCACGAAATACAGTATCATTTACTGAAAGTTTGCACTCCACTGTAGAAGCCCGTCTGCCACGGCTGAGAGCTGAGCTTGCCCTGTGTATGTTCCTGTGGACCTTCCCTTGGTGTAAAGATTCTGTGTTGCACTTTGAACCCCAGAGGGATTTTTATAAAACTTTTGCTGTGAAACAGTAATATCAGCGGTAGCATTTGCACCTTCTGCTGCAGGGCTCCCCCCCCCAAGCAGGCCTCCTGAGGGGCCTCACTAAGCACAGCGCGTGAAGCAGCTGCGGATGCTGCGCCTTCCTCTAGATGCATCTCACTACATTACTTTCCTTTCCTAGAAATGCCGGCTTTGTCTTGCTTCCAGAAAACCTCAGAGCTAATCACACGTTTCCATTCTTGGAATCTAATGCAATAACAATCCCCTCTCACACATACTATACAGTTGAGTGTGCCGGGGAAAATGAACCATGAGAGCTGCTTTCTGTTCACTCCTCATTGTCCGAGAGGTATTCATAAACAAGGAGCTGAACGACTAGCAGGCCAGTGTGGAGGCTCATGAAGGGCAGTCCTGAGGACCGCTGCAAAGTGCTGGCGGCCGCTTCTCATGACTCCATTCGTGAGTTTTGTTTGAACTGTGGGCAAATGTGTTGATTTTCTGTTTGTTGTCTCACTAAACAAGAAGATGGCGTTGGTACCTTCTCACAGGTGTTATGTATGAGTCCACAGCATCCTCGGTGACCGTCTAAATAAAGGTCTCACTTGTTACTCCTGCTCAAGACTGCATCTGCGTCTTTGTAGGTAGGCCGTGTTGTCCCACAGGCCATTCCGAGAGCCTCTCTGTGGTATTGTTTTGGTTGTTTTGAGATGGGGGTCTCACTACATAGCTCTGACCGCCCTGGAACTCAAAATGTACACCAGGCTGGTCTTAAACTCACAGAGGTCTGCCTCCCAAACACCTGACTAAAGACATGGGCTACCACACACAGCTTGTGTTACTGTGTGCGTGTACATATGTATGCATGTGTGCGGAGGCCAGAGGTCAGACCCAGATACTCCTCAGAAACTGTCCACCTTGTTTTTTTGACATGGGGGTTCACAAATTAGACTAGGCTGGCTGCCCAGTAAGAACCCAGCTGTCTCTGCCTCCCAGCACTGGGATTGCAGGCAGGTGCCATCCATCGTGCCTCAGTTTACTTGGGTTCTGTGGCTCAAACTCAGATCCTCAGGCTTGCCTGGTTGTTCTTTACCAAGTGCACCGTCTCCTTGCCTACCCCCATCCCCATGCAGTAACTTTCCTGTTGCCACCGATATGCACACACCAGTATGCACACACACCGGATTTTGAAGAGTGAAGTATTGATGACATCAGCCAGTGTTGGTGGCGCACACCTTTAATCCCAGCACTCGGGAGGCAGAGGCAGGCAGATCTCTGTGAGTTCGAGACCAGCCTGGGGAAAAAAAAAATATTGATGGTATCAAACCATATAGCTTGGTGTCTTGAGTAGGAAACTCGAGTGTTTGCATTAGACAGGTTGGATTTACGTTCTCTTCGTTTCTCCCACCTGGAAGATCACTTAAAATTGTTATTACTTTATGTGTATAAGTGTTTTTTCCTGCATGGGTGTGTATGAACCGAATGTGCACACAGATGATTGTGAGCTGCCGTGTGGGTGCTGGGAACCAAACTGAGTCAGTCCTCTGGGAGAGCAGCCTGTGCTGTTAACTGCTGAGCCATCTCTCAAGCCCAGCTTTTTAAAATTACTCACTTTAGATTTAATCATTTCATAGGAAACCTCTCTGCTACTGTGTTTCATTCCAATTCTTGTGTGTTCTGTCCTGAACACTCGAGTATTCTGATTAAAACTGTGAAGGTTTGAGCTTCTTTTAGTATTATTTGTGTCTCTATGTGGGTGTGTATCTGTGCCTGTATGTGTCTTGTTACTCTGTATATCTCTGTGTATGACTGTGTATGTGTGTGTTTGTGTGTGTCTGTGTGTGTGAATGTGTGTGTGTCTGTGTTGTGTGTCTGTGTGTGTGTCTGTGTTGTGTCTCTGTGTGTGTGTCTGTGTGTGTGTGTCTGTGTGTGTGTGTCTGTGTGTGTGTGTGTCTGTGTTGTGTGTCTCTGTGTGTGTGTGTGTGGGTTGTGTGTGTGTGTGTGTGTGTGTGGGTTGTGTGTGTGTGTGTGAGAGAGAGAGAGAGAGAGAGAGAGAGAGAGAGAGAGATTTTCGATGGGGCAATGGACATGGGTGGATCCCTGGCTGGCCATCTTAGCCTAATTGGTGAGTTGTGGGTCAGTGATAGACCCTGTCTCAAAAAAACATGGCAAATGGTTTCTGTAAGAGATCCGAATCAAAAGGAGGTTTATTTACCCCAGAGGCCAGAGGGCAGAATGAGAGACAGACAGGAGACAGAGGAAGTGGAAGAGAGAGAAGGGAGCGAGGAGCAGGGGCAGGGCAGGGGTATTTGTCCCAGAGGGCAAAGGTCTGCCTGTGCATAGAGAGGAGACTGGGGAAACCCTGGGTTAGGATGAGGTGTTTCGTTTTAATTGGGTGTGGTAGTTAGGTGAGCCAAAGGGACCTTTGACTGCTGGACCGTGGTAGTCAGCCTTAGGAGGAGGAGGAAGTGGCCAAATAAGGGTCTAGACCTTGGGGGCGAGCTTCAGGAATGTAATCTAAGGGTTTTTTAGCAAGGCAGAGGGACCAGGGAGAAGGGCAAGGCCTGTCAGGGAGAGCCACACTTCAGTGGGCCAGTGTCCCACAGTCTTTTAGGAATGACACCTGAGGGCCTCTGGTGTCATTTAGAAGTACACATGTGTGTGCACTCTTGTGGATACACAATTCACACGGTATACTTCAAACAGGGATAGTTATAGCTGGGCAGTGATACTGTGCACCTTTAATCCCAGCACTCAGGAGGTGGAGAAAGGCAGATTTTGTGAGTTCGAGGCCAGCCTGGTTTACAGAGAGCGTTCCAAGATAGGCTCCAAAGCTACAGAGAAACCCTGTCTCAAAAACAACAAAAAAGATCGAGTGGTTTCCAATCTTTTTTTTTTTTTTTTGCAATGAATATTTTTTAAAAAATCTTTAAATTTATTTTTTTGGGGGCTGTGATCTTTGGCTGCTCTTCCAGAAGTCTAGGGTTCATATCCCTGCACTCACATATGACTTACAGACATCTGTAGCTCCTACCCTCGGGAATCTAACCCTTCTTCTGACCTTCAGAGATAATCACACACATGGTAAGCTGACATATGTCCAGGCAGAACAGTCATACACAAAAAACAAAATAAAGCTTTGGAAATTATGTTTTTGGTTAGCTTACAAAAATGTGACATTTTTGTGCATTAATATCACTTTGTTCTTTTTAAAGTTTGTACGTGTGTGCTGTGTATGAATGTACACGTGTGTGCATGTGTGTGGAGGCTGGATGCTGGCTCTCTTCCTCCCTACATGGCTCAGGCCAACCTAGAACTGGAGACCCTTCCTTAGCTTCCGGAAGCACTGGGCTCAGTCAATCCCTCCACACTGGGCTGTGCTCTGCTCTGCTCTGCACCTGCCAACACTTACCACTTACCACGGTAGGGTTTCCTAGGGTTTTTAGATAAAGGCACATGTCTCTCGGTCATTGTGGTGGCACACAGGGATTTTACACCCTTAGAGAAATGTGCAGGCCACGCCTGCTCTGAACTGGGGGTGTGACCTTGGGAAAGGGATCATGGGAACTTTGATTTTTTTTTTTTTCGGAGCATCAGAAACTGGAAAGCCCTTTGATGTAAAGCAGATTTTTACCTCCGCACCCCTCCCCTGTACCAGAGTCTCCCCCCACCCCTGCCGCCCAAAGATGAAGAGTTATAGGTGGTTGTAAGCTGTGCTGGAAATCGTGGGTGCTGGAAACCAAACCCAGGTCCTCTGGAAGAGCAGCAAGCCCTTAACTGCTGAGCTGCGTCTCCAGCCCCCATCATTTGTTTGCCTATCCAACTGTTTAAAGATGTAAAAGTGGTTGTTAGCTCACAAGCTGTAGAAAAACGGAGTGAATTTAGCTGGTAGAGAGAGACTTGGCCGTTATAGCTGCTCTATAATAAGAGAGTTCCCAACTGGATGTTTTATGCGTGCTGTACTTCTCTTGATGAGAAATGGAAGTTCCAAGCCAGCACAAGAATGAATCCTATTGACTAGCCATTTGTCTTACGAGACAGAGCTAAGGCATTTCTTTGGTCTCCCAAAGACAATATGGAGGTATCTTATTCAGATAGTCTGGTCCGTTCAATAGGCAGGTCCCATGCCTGTCCCGCATGCACCGAGTGGGGACACTAGAAGGGCTCAGCTAACGCCATGGGGTTCCAGCCCCATCTGAGGCTTGAGTAGACAGTTCTCTGCCTTCTGTCTGCCTCCCTCCCCATAGGGATCACATCTGCCTTGGAGAGTTCCACGGCCTTGACCATGATCCAGATACATTAACCAAAAGAATGGAAGTCAACTAAAATAGCTAGAAAAGTTATAATTCAAAAATAATTGGCAAGTTATGTCTAAAATAATCACTGTGTTCTGCCAGGGGTGAATGTGTCAAGGCTACTCTGACTTTCACCTAACTCAGGTGTAAATTATGGTCTTTGTGGTCTTTTGCTTTTGAAAACTCTGCATCCCTGAGCTTGGGCACCAAAGGCCTTTCAGAGGACTTAAAACCTTTAACTGACTTAATGGACACCAGCAGTAGATGGATGTGTTTAGGTTAGCCCTCCCTCAGAAAGTAAACTTGGGCAGCCCGCTCCCCGCGTCTAGGAAGGGTTTGCTCTGGGTTTGGGCTCCATGCTTCCCTCTGGCTTCACTGCCGTCTTTAACCAATTGAGCTGCCCTTTGGGGCTCAACCACAGCCACCGACTGCCCCAGGACAATGACCATTTCCACCCCCAAACCGATTTATGGTGGTTATTCTCGCTTGGTTGTCAACCTGACTACACTTGGAACTAACAAACAAAAATGGAGGGGCTGTGGTGGGGTGCCTCCTCCTTTACCCTTTTCTTCTCTGAGTGCGCCTGGCAAGCAGTCTATTACTGAGCCACAGTCCCAGCCTAGTCCTTTTAACCTTACCACCAAGATGCCCAGCGTCACGGTGGCTAGTCGGGGAGGCACCTAGCTTCCTACTGGTGACACCACGGCCCAACAGGATGAGAGGCTCTGCCAACACGTGGAAGGCTTCATCAGCCTGAGGCCGAGCCTCCTCTTGCTGCCAGCAAATGGCTGTTGGCAGGGCTTCTCCTCGAAGCAGAGCACATGGGTGCTCTGCTACCGTGTATAGCAGGAGGGTGAGCTACAATGCTCCCCTAAATGTTAAATCCTACAAATGGGTTTCTAATGTGCCTTTGGGAAGCCGAGCAAGAACAGCGGTCAGCTCATCAGTGCTCGTGAATGACATGGCTGGTGGCCGTCTCCTTTTACTGGGTCAATACAGTGTGACTCATCTGTGAGTCACATGCTGATGGCATCTCTGGAAATAACCTCATGACTCTGGAGAATTAGGTGATGACATTTGGACGTCGTTCTTGATGGACTCTGCTATGGGCTCCTTAGTTCTACTGGATGCAGCTTAAGAAAATCCTGGAACTTATTATGTAGACCAGGCTGGCCTCAAACTCACAGAGCCCTGCCTGCTTCTTCCTCCTGAATGCTGGGATGAAAGACACCACATCTGGCTAGACTTTTCAAAAGTCAATACTTGGTAGAAAAATGGCCAGAGCAAAGAAGGGAAAGTTGGGGAAGGGATGAAGAAGAAAACCTTACCCAGGCCTCTTAAAAAGTTCAATATACAATCCTTTATTTCTAGCTTTGAAAAACTACTTAAATTATCATGACACTATTTACAAGATTAATCACTGCTGTGCGTGAGGTGCAGGATGGACCTAGGATAGTTGCATTTAGGCCATCACACTGGACATGAAGGGGACACGAAGGGCCCCTCTTTGTGACAGGCTGGAATGGCTGGGACAGCCAGGGCTGCTCACAAGGGAGAGAGAGCATTATGAGCTGGCAGCTATGCCGCCAGTAAGTGACTGTACCTTTTTAGTGTTTAAGAGAAACCTTTCTTTCCTGAGATATTTTTCATGGAATCCGTTTAGATACTTGTATGATCTGGACAACTCATAAAGAATAAGCAGTATATCATCTTCCCCCTGAAAGGCCTTCCTGAGGCGGAAGTCCCTAGAGCATTGGTGGTCTCTGCAGAGTCCAGGACAAATGGCAGCAGTGTCCTGTATTGTCCTCCTGGGCAAGCAGGGACCGGTGCCTGGCTCACAGTATGTGCAGCACATTCTGCTCCTTTCCTGGAGAGGAAACGATCGACACAGAGTCCCAGGCATCATCCTTTGGGGAAGTGTCCTTGTCCAAGGCATCTAAGATGGGCTGGTCTGGGTCCTTTAAATACTAGGAAAGGCAGAAGACAAAACCATCATAAACGGTTTCATATGCCAGGTGTCTACGTGGAGTTGGTATAGTCATATTAACATTAGGTATAACTTTATGTCTACGTGGAGTTGGTATAGTCATATTAACATTAGGTATAACTTTATGTTGTCAACCAATGCAGTGATACCAATGGCATTACTGCTACTGTTGTTATGCTGGGGTGGGCATGTGTGAGTGTGCGCGTGTGTGAGTGTATGTGTGTGAGTGCATTGTGTGAGTGCGCGCGTGTGTGTGTATGCGAGTGTGAGTGCGTGTGTGTGAGTGTGTGTGACAGTGTATTGTGTGTGAGTGTGTGTGTGAGTGTGTATGTGAGTGAGTGTGTGAGCATGTGTGTGAGAGGCACTACTCTATTGTTACTGTTGTAACTTGGGGTAGGGGTGGTCAAGCCCAGGGCTGGCACATGGTGAGCACACACTGCTGGCACGTGCCCATCCCTGATCCCCAGCATGCACCTGCCTCTACCCTCATGCCAGTAAGAGCTGTAGTGTGGCTCCAGGGGCAGGCCTGGGGTGTAGAGCTCCGTGCAAGGATGCTTGTCCAGCGAGTACAAGGGCCTCGGTTCCAGCCCCAGAATTGTAAAAAACCAAACCAAATCAAACAACGAAACTTAAGGGCCAATCATATTCATCTGACGAAAGCTGTGAAGGGGAGCCTCCGAAAAAGTAGGGCTCAGTGTATACTCTGGGTCATGAACTTTAAAATATTTAAGCAACGTAGCAGTTGATGGGCGTGACTCATTGCTGCCAAGTTTGGCCACCCTGGTTTGATCCCCAGGACCCACACGGTCAAAGAAGAAAACGACTCCTGGAAGTTGTCCTCTGACCTACACAGCACACACCCCCACCCGCTAAGATGAAAACGTAACCCTCAGCCTTCATTCAGCTGTGCCGGGTAAGCAGGGACATCCATAGGCTCTGCTGGTGCCCTCCCTCCCACTTGTCCTCAGCCCCAGGGTACGCTGGGGTGGGGTGGGGTCCTCACAGGAAGACAGACCTCACAGGCCTGGACTCTCCCTTTTGTCCTTGGCTACAGACTCACCATTGTTCCCAGGCTCAACCTGCAGCTCTGAGAAGTGCCCGAACGCCAATGGCCAACAGAACGAGGGGCAGGGGTCTCTCTCTCACACACACACACTCACACACACACTCTCACACACACACTCTCACACACACACTCTCACACACACACTCTCACTCTCACACACACTCACACACACTCTCACTCTCACACACTCACACACACACACTCTCACACACACACACTCACACACACTCACACACTCTCACACACTCACACACACACTCTCACACACTCTCTCACACACACTCTCTCACACACACACACACTCACACACACTCTCACTCTCACACACACTCACACACACTCTCACACACACTCTCACACACTCACACACACACTCTCACACACTCTCTCACACACTCTCTCACACACACTCTCACACACTCACACACACTCTCTCTCACACACACACTCTCACACACACACACACTCACACACAAACTCTCACACACTCTCACACTCTCTCTCTCAAACACACTCACACTCTCACACACTCACACACACACACTCTCAAACACACTCACACTCTCACACACACACACTCACACTCTCAAACACACTCACACTCTCACACACACTCTCACACACTCACACACACACTCTCTCACACACACACACACTCTCTCTCACACATACTCACACACACACACACTCTCTCACACTCACACACAGTCACACACATTCTCTCACACTCTCACACACTCACACACTCACTCTCTCACACACACTCTCTCTCACACACTCTCTCTCTCACACACACACACACACCAACACCCCCCCCCAGACACAGAAGTGAAACCATTCTCCAGTCTAGAAACATCAGTGACCTTGGGCAATTTTTCACACTTTCCCAAGAAAGTGCATCAAAGCTTGGATTCCTGTCCCAGAGAAACAGCTGTGGTAAACCCAGACTCCTGAGATGGGAGTCGTACCTGCCTAAGACAGGATGGGCCCAGTAAAACCCCAGGGGCCATCAGGGCCTGTCATTCTCGGACAGTGCCAACTAAGGAGCCTTTAAATCCATCACCAGGGGTCCCGTGTTTATACCCAGCACTCGTTACACTACCATCTTCATTCTGTGTGGACGTTGTGTGCGAGCAAGCGTCCACCTGTGGAGGGCAGAGGACAGCTTTCAGGGGTCAGGTCTCTCCCACCATGTGGGTGCTGGGGTCACAGGCATGTGCCACCCTGCCCATCTTCTAGCTACACCATTTAAACTCCAGTCCCTGCTCTCGGGCACCAGAACCCTGCTGGTCACTCGCTTACGCATCTGTGCGCTGACCTCCTTTATTTGTTCCGGGATGTTAGGTGGAGCTTGAAACCAGTACTTCACCCGGCTTTGGTATCTGAGGAACAGGAAGAAGCAGGTCCCAGTCAGCACCAGTAGCAATAAAAAGGTTCCCATGGGGATCAGGATGACTTGCAGCCTGTTGGAGGCTTAAAAAAAAAAAAAAAAAAACAAAACTTAAAAGTGAGCAAGACACAATGGGTTCCATCTGCCACCAATCGACCATATTCATGTCCCAATAGAACCGATAGCCTGGCTCATGCCCTTGCTTTATGCACTGAAATTAGTAATTTCAATCTGAAATGTGAAACCTGAAAAATTATATTCCCAAATAAAAAAAATAAACAAAAACTCCAGCCCCATCAGCCAGGAGGAGGTGGTACAAACCTTAATCCCAGCACTTGGGAGGCAGAGGCAGGTGGATCTCAGTGAGTTTGAGGCCAGCTTGGTCTACAAAGTCAGTTCCAGGACTACACAGAGAAACTATGTCTTGAAAAACCAAAGACGAAAAAGAAAAAACCCCGAAACTGTCCCGTCATGATACCACAAGTGGAAAGTTTCACATAAAAAAATCTTGTGATGGGTCATGGTTCAAGCATGTGTGTACACTGGGCAGTAAGAAGGCTCAGCAAGGAAAGGCCTCTGACCTGCACACACACACACACAGTAAATAAAAATGCAATAAAAAAGTCCCCAACATCAGGGTACTAAAAATAATTATATAAAATCTTCAGGATATTCATGTAAGTTATCTATGAGACATAAGGGAATTTTACGTCCCTAAGACAACTCATTATGTATATGCAAACATCCTAAAATATGAAACAAGAAAAACTCATATCTGACATACTTCTGGTCCCAGGTGTTTTGGAGACTGCTCAGCCTGGCCCTAGCAGCTCCTCGCTGCTACAGACTTCAACATGATCAGACTTGCAGGTGAATACTTCTGAATTTCTGCTCCTACCTCCTGCCACCCACAACATGCCTGAAGTCACTATTCAGGAGAAGCCTTTTTGCACACGTAACAGATAAATGAAGGTGTGTCTTACCATCCCCTGTTGTCTCATGGCAAGTTACGTTGCTTAACGAAAGCCCAGGCCGACAGATGTTTTTGTCTCTCACAGTGAGTTGTGCCTCGGTTTGTAAACAGTATACGCTGAATGGCTTCAAATTACTCAACACGACAGAGTTCTCCTTGAAAGGACCTCTCACCTGGGTAGAGAGCACCACACCACACAGGTGAGCCAGCCAGCCAGAGCCAAGTGGTTCCTAGCGTTTCTCAAACCCACAGTGAGCACAACCGAACTGTAACAAGACCACAGGGCTGTGAGCTCTCATGAGCCTCATGCAGTAACCAGAAGTTAACAAATTCCAGTTTCTACCATAAGAATCTCTCCTGTAAAACTAAGAATACTTTGGGCTGGAGAGATGGACACAGCGTTTGCTGCGTAGTCAATCCTAAGGAGCCGATCCTCAGCACCATGTCAACATTTGAACGTATCCCCAGGATGGGGAAAGCAGAGACAGGGAGATCTCCATGAGTTCTAGGCCAGCCTGGACTACAGAGTGAGTTCCAGGTCAGCCAGGGGTACACAGAAAAACCCTATCTCAAAAAGAAAAAAAAAAAAAAAAAAAAAAAAAAGAAAGAAAGAAAAAGAAAAAACAAACAAACAAACAAACAAACAAAAAAAAAACCGAAACAGGCTCAAGGCTTAAGCTCCAGAAGACACGGGAACCCTGATCTCCTGTGTCTCGTGGAATGTCTTCCGAGTCAGGAACTCTAAAGAAACCCTAAACAAGGAAGATAAGTGTTCTTGCCTGTTGGGTTCCTGTTTTTTCCCAGTAATGGACACGATACTCAAACGTTGCGTCCCTCGTCACAGGAAAGGGAGGTGAGAAGTGAATGATGAGCGATCCTTTTCCTGGGGTCACTGAGATGTTTTTTGGAGGTCCAACAGTAACTGAAACAGAGTCACAATCCGACAGTAACTGAAACAGAGTCACAACCGACAGTAACTGAAACAGAGTCACAACCCCACGGTAACTGAAACAGAGTCACAACCCGACAGTAACTGAAACAGAGTCACATCCAGGCAGTAACTGAAACAGAATTACAAAAACTCACATGAATGACATTGACACTCAGTATATACCATGCATATGCATACTGTGTATCTACATTCTACCTGTCATACTTCTACATGCTTGTGAACACACACATTTATACTTAGTAAGTGACAGGCTGCACTCAGATGCGGGCTCTGCAGGTGCCATTTACAGAGGCCAACATCCAGGTTGAAGGAAAGCCCCTGCAATTCCCATGTGTGGCCCCAAACCAGCCTCCGGCAGGGGCAACCCTCACCTCTGCTCAAAGGCCCTCTGAACTGCTTTCTAGTAGAACCAGGGAGGGACACGCCTAGTTACAAGGATCTGCTTGTGGCATGCCTCGGGTATGGCCTTGCACAAGGGGCCCAAGATCTTTGTGGCTGAGATGCAGGTTCTGGAAGCCATTTGACAGTAAGCAAGGCTTCCAGAATCAAGGCTGGCTTCTGAATCCCAGACAAACAGGACAAAGTTAAGCCAGAGGTCAAGTTTTCTTTCATTCAGGGCAGGAAAAGATGCATAAGACTTGAAACTTGCAGAGAAATGGGTGGATCTGGAAAGCATATTAATTGAGGGAGCCAAACTCAGGAAGCAATAAATAAATAAATAAATAAAAAGACATTCTCCCTCACATGAAGACCCTAGTTTAGTGTTCACATGTGTACGTAAGTAAACAGCATTGCGTGTGGTTGTAGCATAACATTTACTCTATCATTTGGGTTTTCTTTCCCTGTTGGTTTTTGACTTAGGGCTCTGTGTGGCTCTGGCTGTCCTGAAACTCACTGTGTAGACCAGGCTGACCTTGAACTCACAGAGATCTGGCTGCCTCTGCCTCCCAAAAGCTGGGATTAAAATGTGTGCCACCCTTATCTCCAGATCACTTTATAGTAAGCTGATACTTTAATGGTTCTGGATTATTTTGGGGATTTTATTTATTTAGCTAAATTTCATTTTAAATTTTTTATTACATTTTGTGTTAAAATGGTGGTAACAATAAAATTTGCCATGCTACCCAGGATCACACCTCTTAAAAACAAACAACAAAAAGTAGCCTGGCTGGGCAGTAGTGGCAGAGGCACACGGATCTCTGTGACTTCCAGGTTAGCCTGATCTACAGAGCGAGTTCCAGGAGGGCCATGGTGGTTACACAGAGAAACCCTGTCTTGAAAAAACAAACAAAAAACCTAGTCCAATATAAGTGCTTAATACAGCCCCAACTATCTCTAATTGTCTTTTACTTGGAATTCGTGTGTGTGTGCGTGTGTGCCTGCATGCGTGTGCGTATGTGCCTGAGTGTTTGTGCATGTGGAAGCAGGAGGTTGTCATCAGGAATCATGCTTGCTCAATGTTGCCCTTCTTCACTGTTCACCAGTGGGATCCCATGCCCACCTTGAGAGGCTGGAATTACAGGCAGAGGTGTCCACACACTTGACAAGTGTGTAGGTTTCTCGGGATCTGAACCACTGAGCCAATTTCCCAGTTGCTTGGATTTACTTATACAAGTGAGCCTCTTTGTGTGTGAACCAACCACAGACTGAGGAAGCTTCAGACACGGCCCCTGGGGTTTCTGCTGCTTCACGTGACAGACACTGTTCAGGTTTGAGTGAAAACCTTCCTATCCTGAAATCAGTTGTGCTGGGTCAGGAAGGGCTACTAGAATCCAACCCACCAGCATCTCACCTGCCGCAGATGGGTGCCCTCTCAGTGAGATGGGTGGGGGCTGCGGGTCAGTAGCATAGCACCTGTCCAGCAGGCACCAGAACCCCAGCAAAGAAGCAAGATGCCTGGGACTGTCTTCCAGTAAAACATTTACAGTAACAAGGCAGTGGGTCAAATTTGGAACCTCCAGGGTTAGCCGAAGTCCCTCATAACCCTACCCATTGTCTTTTTTATTTAGGATGAGGGCCAGGGCCAAGGCCTAGGGCGGGTTCAGCGTTGCTCACCCAAGAGGCACGTAAAGGAAACCTGGGTGCCATAGTGTTTGTTTTTAAAGATGCATTTGTTTTATTTATCTCTGGGTGGGGTGAGGGTGGTGCCTAGGAGGACAGCAAGGGTGTTGGATGCAGTTGTGAGTTCTCCCACGTGGATGCTAGAGACTGAATTCTAGTCCTCTCAGGAGCCATCTCCAGCCACTGTCAACTTTTCTACCCGAGTTCTCTTACCATTACAGTAGCGTTGAAACCAAGTCAAGGTAACCCAGTCAGAGGTGCGCTCCCCCTGCTTGGCTCGAACTCTCAAGAGAACACTGTATAAACCGGAGAAACCCTTGAAGCGGCTGCCTCCTGTGAAGTCGCACTTGGTCACTGTGATGTCGGTGCAATTTACCCTGTTGAACTTATTCCAGGAACCATCGAAGCTGGGAAAGAAAACAAGATTTCAGCTCACTGCCCTCCAGAAACACTGCTTTCTACAAAATGGGTGCAGCCACTTCTGCTTTTGCCAAAGGTCAAGTACAAGCGAAACTCTTCCCTAAGAATTAATTCATGTGCCATACCTGCTTCGATCTATTCAACACAGTGGTTTTAGGAGCCAACTACCACTGCGACCAGTTTTTAAAATATGATGCTATCCCCTGCCTCCCAAGAAAACCTGGTATCTATCCATTGTTAAAATTCTCCGTTCTTCTCCAGCCTGGTGCCTAGTCATAGGCAACAACTTACATACTTTCCGTCTCAACAGGTTCTCTCATTCTGAGTGGAACCATATCATATGGATGCCTATCACAGGTCCAGTCACGCTACAGAACGTATCATTTTTTTAAATTTTTGTGTTTTACTTTTATGTGATGCCTATGTGCCTTTGAGCATTCATGCATTCCATCTGCATCTAGATCCAGGAGCCGGAGGAGGGCAGAAGGAGCCCTGGTTCCCCTGGGTGACAGCCAGTTGTGAGCTGCCATGTGGGTGCTGAGGAAGGAACATGTACCCTCATAACTACCGAGTCATCTCTCTAGCCCCACGCATAAGTCCTTTACCCTTGTGTGTGTGTGTGTGTGTGTGTGTCACAGCACACATGGAAATCAGAGGACAACTGTGTGGAACAGTTCCCGGCCCCACCGTGTGGGTCCCAGGGACTGAACTCGGGCCCTCAGGCTTGGCAGCAAGTGGTCTCTCCCTAAAAGCTACCTCGCTTGTCCCGTGTATCTGTTCATTTCTCCCCTCAACCCCAAACTCTCACCGAAGCCCGGTATGATGGCACACACCACGAATCCTATTTTCCAAAGGCCATGACACGTGGATTAAGAATTTGAGGTTGGTCGGCCTAGGTTACATGAGTTTTAGCCCAGTCTGCAACATATAGAGAGACTCCTTTCTCCAAGAGGAGGAAGAGAGAGGAGGAGGAAGAATAAATAAAAGGAAAAGGAAGAAAAAAAGAAAGATCCCTTTGGGTGTGTGTAGCTCTCTTTGTCTACACGTCCGTTAGCTGGTAGGCGTGCTTGTCTATCTGTCTATCATTTTGAAATGGATGACCAGGGTTCCCAAGGGAGCTTCTCAGCTGCTGTGTCCAACCCCAGGGCCTCAGAGCCAAGGAAGACAAGGATGGTGAACGACAGGCACAGGCCCCGGCTCCCCGCCACAGAACAAGGGCCTTCCTAAAGACTTGTAACCTCCATCCCGCCAATCCCTTTGGGCCAGCTGTTGAACTTGAAGGAACAGGCCCTACATCTCAAAAGATTCAGTCCCATTCACCAGGAAATTAAGCACACTCACACACATACACTCTCTCACACATACACAACACTCACACATTCACACACACACACATACACACACATACACCACAATACACTCACACACACACACACACATTCACACACATTCACACACACACATACACTCACAGACACACACACTCACTCACTCATACACACACCCCTTCCAATCTTACCCTGATCTTAAAATTGTTTCTCAGCAGAATAGGAGTTCTGAGGGAAGGGAACCCTTTCCACACAGAAGGTAAAAACAGGATGATTGTGTTTCATTTAAAGGAATAGCGAGCGCATCCTCAGGTTGCTCATGGCCAGCCCCATCAGATCAGACTGTCAGACGAGGTGAGTCACCCTGGCCCTTGCGCACTGACTCATTTTGTACTTCTTTTCAGAAATTACCTAACTTTTCGTGTGTGAGTGTGCTAGTCACTCCGTGATGGTTAACACAGCCTAGACTGTCCTAAGGAGTGTCGTGAGGGCCTTGTCTGTATCAGGCTGGCCTGTGCACATGACTGTGTGTCTGTGTGTCTGTCCAGCGCACGGCAGGCCTGAGCATGTGTCTGTGTGTCTGTCCAGCGCATGGCACCGCTCCCTGAGTTTGGGTCCTGAACTGTTTAAGATGGAGGCGTGAGGTGGGCACTTGGATCGTGCATTCATCTCTCTGCTCCTGACGATGCATGTGATGAGTGGCTACCCTGCTGTGACAGACAGTAACCTTCAACTACAACAAACCCATTTTCCCCCAAGTTGCTTTTCTCAGGCTACTTTTATCACGGCAACAGAAATAAAACTGGACCCATCGACCCCTGGGCCTTGTGTGAGTTAAACACGTGTCCTGCCACAGTGAACAGCCCAGGGAATATGCATTCGCTCTTTATTTACTTGTTTGGGACACAGTGCTGCTGTGAAACCCAGGCCGACTTTGAATGTGCAATTCATCTGTTCCCAAGTATGAGCGTTACAGTTACATGGCACCAGGCCTGCCTGGCTAGAAACCCTGTTTTTAAATTATATATTAAAATTTTACATGCATTTACTTATCTATTTCTGTCTGTGTGTATGTAGATGCTGTGTGACAGTGTGTGTGGAGGTCAGAAGACACCATACAGTAGTCTAATAAGTGGGTCCTGGGAACTAAACCTGGCAGCAAGTGTTTACCGGCTGACCCATTTTGCTGACCCCTAGGAATTTTTTTTTTTTGTAAAGCAACAGTTTTTATGAAATGGAGTGCTATGTTGTAGTTTAATGCTTTGCACCAGAAAACAGATTTCCTATATCAAATTCTAGTTTTTTGTTTGTTTTTGAGACAGGGTTTCTCTGTATAAACCTGGCTGTCCTAAAACTCACAGAGATCCACCTGCCTCTGCCTCCCGAGTGCTGGGATTAAAGGCGTGTGCACCACCCAGCTCCAATTCTAGTTTCTTAGCACAGTTCCTCGGTCGCCTGGTCTTAAAGAGTCAGGCCAGCAGATGGCTCAGTGGAGGAAGGCGTTTGCTGCCAAGCCTGTGAGCTAGAGTCCAGTCCCCAGCATCCACGTGGTGGAGGGGGGAACCAACTCCGGCAAACTGTCCTTTGACCCCCACACGTCAGTTATGGCGCCTGTGGTGTGCACCCTGGGGTTCTGGGGAAGCCTGAGCAAAGAGCCTCTGCAGTGAGGACCATGCAAGTGTTTGTCAGAGCTTAGTCTACTACGTAGGTCAGCGGGGACACCCCTCCCCTGCCCAGCCCTCTCTGTTCTCAGGACTGAGGGCTGGGAGTGGATGTGGATGCTTCCTCCTGAGAAGACGCCGGGTCTCACCAATGCTTAGCCATCCTTGTTCTCTCTCTGGACCTGGTCCACAGATGGTGAAGCTCTGTCCCCGTTCCCCAGCTAGGCTGTAGGAATGCACGTTCCCTATGCAGCTTACAATTCTTGCTGCCCCTCTGGGTGTCCTACAGAGAAACAAGTACTGCTAGAGCAAGCAGAAGAAACTAATGTTCTGAGAAGACCCAGAGCAGCTCTTCCTGGGCTAGGCGGCAAGCTGTGGCCAGGCTTCCAAGCCCACCAGAGGACAGCATGCTTATGTTGTTACAGCAAAAACCTCCAGGTTCTCTAATGTTGGCTACTAATGTTTTTTTGTTTGTTTGCTTGCTTGCTTGAAAGATTAAACACTACAGCCACACAGCCTGGAGGATGCTATCTATCTGTGACCTACTATTTAAACTTTGAATCTCCACTGTTTCCTGTAGATTTGGCTTTGCTACTTACTATGACTGTCAGAAAAGCCACCAATGCCTCTTTTGTTTCACTGAAACCAACCTTAACCCCTGATGAAAGGCTACAGAATGTTTACCAAAGTGAGGAGGGGAGGGGCTAGGGAAGTGGCTGCCATTAAGCTGACAGCCCATGGGCCTGTGTTGGGACCCTGAGCACCCACGCCGCCCTGTGAATCAGTTCAGTGGAGAAGCAGAGAGACAGGCGGACCCCTGGACAGCTAATCTAGAGAGCTGAACTGGAGAGCTCCAGGCTCAGAGAGAGGATGCCCCTCGAAAAAGGAGGGTGCTTGCACGCCGTCTCTGACCTCCATATGCCCCCCCAACAGACACCTAGAGTCAAACACGCTAATGTCCAATACGAAGCTCTATGGAAGCCTTTTACAAACCTCAGTAAAATGAGCACAGTGGTGCAGGGCTAGGATCTCAGTTAATGGGAGGCTGAGGCAGGAGGATGTCTAGTTTCAGGGCCACATGAGCAAAGCAGGGATACTTGCCTCAAAACAAACTGGTTTGCTTACGTAGTATGATTTCCCCTGATCTTCAGTTAGCTTATATGACAAAACAGAGACCATTTAACTGAGCCCACTCTTTATGTGCAGGGTTCTTAAGTTGCAGTCACCTGGTAGCCAACAATGGAGAAAGGAATAAGGCAGAACAAAGGGCCAGAAGAGCATGTCACTCAAAACAGAAAACCAGGTGAGAAACCGAGAACTCATCGTAGTCTGCTGAATAAATTCCTTCGTAGGCTAAATTTGGGCTTTGAGGTTTTAACCCTGAAAGCTGTCCCCTTCCTTCCCCGGGCGACAGTCAGCTCTTCCTGTGAGCAGAACAGAAGGGCCGCTTTCACGACTACAGGAGGCTACAGGGCAGCCCGGGTCTCTGGCGGCCAGACTCACCCTGACCGTGGGAGGTTGAGACCTCTGTCCTTGCAGCTTTTAAATAAAAGTACAAGGGAATGCCTGCCACCCCCAGGCCCCTCTACAGTTCTGCAGGCCCCAGGGTTCCCTCCCAGGGTTCCCTCCCAGGGTTCCCTGCGACTCCCCGCCAGGTCGCAGCACGGATATCCACAGCACATACTTACTATTTATACTCCACCTGGTAGACCACCGGTCTCGTGTCGTTGCTGGGGGGTGACGGCTCCCAACTTAGAGTCTGCTCGTCATTGTACAGGTGAAGTTCTAGACGCTGAGGCGCAGCAAGCTGGGAAAAAGAGTCTTGAGAGGAATAGGGAAGGGGGGAGGTGGGGGTAAACAGGAAACGGGGGGTATGTGGGGGATGGGTGAACAGGGAATGAGGGGGGATGGGTGAACGGAGTTAGAGGGGGATGGGTGAACAGGGAATGAGGGGGATGGGTGAACAGGGAGTTAGAGGGGGTGGGGTGAACAGGGAGTTAGAGGGGGTGGGGTGAACGGAGTTAGAGGGGGATGGGTGAACGGAGTTAGAGGGGGGTGGGGTGAACAGGGAATGAGGGGGATGGGTGAACAGGGAGTTAGAGGGGGTGGGGTGAACAGGGAATGAGGGGGATGGGTGAACGGAGTTAGAGGGGGGTGGGGGTGAACAGGGAATGAGGGGGATGGGTGAACGGAGTTAGAGGGGGGTGGGGTGAACAGGGAATGAGGGGGATGGGTGAACGGAGTTAGAGGGGGGTGGGGGTGAACAGGGAATGAGGGGGATGGGTGAACAGGGAGTTAGAGGGGGGATGGGGTGAACAGGGAGTTAGAGGGGGTGGGGTGAACGGAGTTAGAGGGGGTGGGGTGAACAGGGAATGAGCGGGATGGGTGAACAGGGAGTTAGAGGGGGATGGGGTGAACAGGGAATGAGGGGGATGGGTGAACAGGGAGTTAGAGGGGGTGGGGTGAACAGGGAATGAGGGGGGATGGGTGAACGGAGTTAGAGGGGGGTGGGGTGAACAGGGAATGAGGGGGATGGGTGAACGGAGTTAGAGGGGGGTGGGGTGAACAGGGAATGAGGGGGATGGGTGAACGGAGTTAGAGGGGGGTGGGGTGAACAGGGAATGAGGGGGATGGGTGAACGGAGTTAGAGGGGGGTGGGGTGAACAGGGAATGAGCGGGATGGGGTGAACAGGGAGTTAGAGGGGGGGATGGGGTGAACAGGGAGTTAGAGGGGGTGGGGTGAACGGAGTTAGAGGGGGTGGGGTGAACAGGGAATGAGCGGGATGGGTGAACAGGGAGTTAGAGGGGGGGATGGGGTGAGAGGAACAAGCAGGAATAGGGTGGGGAGAGAAGGGGACAATCCTGTAAGACCGCTCAATTACAAAACATTCCGGAGCATGTTATCAAAGCCATTTATGGAGCACAGCTCTAGCAGAGTTCAGGAATGGGAGCTGCTGTCCCCCCTGGCACAGCCTCTGGGTGTGATTGTGATGATGCTAACACTGTGCACAGCGGCCACGCTCCACCTGCAGGCTGACAGAGCCTTGGGGGAACCACAGTCTGATCCCACCGCCGGCTGCCCAAGCTCCGTTACTGTGCAGGAATAACCCTAAGCCTAACCAATGATGAGGCGCCCCACAGAGCTTGAGTGAGGGTCTGCCAGTGAGGATCCAATAGACCAGAGTTAGGGTACCAAGATGACCCTGCCTGTGTGGGGGGTGCAGGCACCTCCAAGACCTCGGCGCACATCCCTGAGAGGCGGGATAGGGTGCTGAATCCCAGGCTCCACGCCACAGAAGAGGAATGGATGCTTTCAGCTGGCCTCCCAGATTTGGAACCCACAAATGACAAAAGAACGCATTACCTCCAGGCAGCAGATTCCCCCTCTTGGGGTGACCTGAAATAAACCAGTTCCCACCCATCCTGTCAGACAGATACTCTCTCTGCAGGCGGGGCTAGAGAACACTGGAACCTTCTCTCTAAAAGGAAATTGAGATAACACTTTCTCTGATCGAAAGATTATTGAGAAATATTCAGAATGTGGAAAGAAAAACATGCTGCTCCAGAAGGCAGAGCAGGAACCTCAAACCACATATTTTCCGAAAGCTCTTCCGAGCGAGCCTGAAGACGGGTGCGGAGAAGCCACCCCCACCTCACCCGGCGCAAGGCGGCTGCCACCAGGCTGCAGCCTCTGTAGTCTGAGTGCCCAGCACCTCCACCCACCTCTGCGAGCTTCCCTAATTCTTTTCAACATTGCTGTCCATTCACACGGGCGGGTGCAGGAGAACCTGCTCCAAAGTCAGCCAGGCCAGCAGCGTGGCAGAAGCCAGGCCGGTTCAGCTCCCTGAGCAGGTGACCCTGAGGGCTTGGCCAAATCCAGGGTCAGTCATGGAATCTCAGAGACATGTTTTGCCTGCCTGCATGGGGATGCTGTCGCTGCTGAAGCATCTCACCCCAAACGCACACACGAGCTTTTAACAACCCAGATGCCATCTATCATTTATCATTTTATCACGTGTATCATTTTCTGGAGGGCAGAAGTTTGAAACGGGCCCAGGATGGAGGTGGCTGCAGGGCCCCATTCCCTCTGGAGCTGCCAAGAGAAAAACCAGCTTCCTTCTTTTCTCAAGCTCTGGAGGCTATCTGCATTCTTTGGCCCATGGTCCCTTTCGCTGGTATTGCCGGGCCAAGTCACTCTTGCTGTACCCACCCTTTGGCCTTTCCTGCCTCCTTCTTATCTTCCAGGACCCTGAGTGTGTGTAGCTGATAATCCAGGATCATCTCCCACTTCCGGACCTTCAACTCGGTCATGCCTGAAAGGTCCCTTTTGTCATCTCGGGCCACGTATTCCCACCGTCCAGGAATTAGTGCCTGGACCTATTTCAGACCTCAGTAGTCTGCCTGCCATACCCCTCTTCACCATCTCTTTTATCTTTAGAGGAACCAGAGGAATGTTTTCTCCTTCTCCTGGGACGGGATCTTCCCAGTCTAAACACCCATGTAAGAAGAGGGACACACCAAGGGACCAGGTAGACAGACCCATACGTGAGAAAGCAAAGACACCCCGTTCTCTGGTCCAAGAAAGCTCAGGACAAACGGCTAACTGTCTGCTCTCGGTTCACGTGGTGGCTCTGCTCAGCGACCCCACCCCACCCCACCCAGCTTCCCCAGCTCAGGGTCACCTTCCCTGTCCTTTTGGCCATGTGCTTTCTCAGGCCTGGTTCCAGTCTGCTGGCCATGGTTCGTGTACTGCTCTCTCTCTCTCTCTGCCCTGGACCCTTCCAGATGTGCCTGGCTGTCCTCTCCCTCACATCCACAACAAACACCTTCCCCTCAACCATGCCTTGGAGCAGTTCTGTCCTTACTTCATATACTTGTCAGGGCTGGGGCCTGGGGGGGTGGGGGGCCGTGAGGGAGGCAGGGGAACAGGGAGCTTAGTTGCGCAGCACTTGCCTGGCAGGCCCAAAGCCCTGGGTTTGATGTCCAGCACTCAAAACAACACCAACAAAACAGTCTCCTCTGGTAAGAGGGAGTTTCCAGACTCCGTGTACGGAAGGCCACCCAGTACAGCTTTGTCTCCACTAGGAGTGTCTTGGGAATCCTGATCTTGTCATATCCACTGAAGAACATAGGTCTCGGGACTGTGGACCCCACTGGGAAGTGCCAGAGAGTTATCCACACACCTTAAATCACTTTTACCAAGCAGCCCTCTTCACGTTCTGAGGGCCCATCCATCCTTGACTGTCCCTGTCTCCACAGCCCTCTGGCCTTGGGAAACCCTGTGTACACTGTGCTGGGGGTCTAGTTCTTCTGCCCGCGTCCGTCAGGCCTCTGCAGAGTGGTCCTGTAAGATGCCCAGAGCCTGGGGTAAACTTGCAAACCTGCCCTTAGTTCTTACTGTGATTCCCCCCCCCCCAAAGCACAATTCACACCGGAGCCCTTCACACCAGGGTGGTCAGAAGCACAGGCTTTACAAGCGGTGTCCTCTGCCACTGTCTCAGGCTGGCCTGGAACTCTGAGACCTGGCCCTGCCTCTTGTTGTTGGTAGCTGTCTGCAGTGTGCGCTCTGACGGTGAGGTGCTGGGGATCCCAGTCCCTCCTAACGGCGCTGGCATGCGAGAAAGGCTGTAATTGGCGGCCCGAGTGTGTGGCTGTACCCAAGCCTGGCTAATCTATTAAGTGTACATGGAGAAGTCTCACATCACAGGGGTGGGGCCGGGAGGCAGGATGGGGCGACCTGCGGCCAAGGTGCAGAGGGCACGCCCACAAGACTCCACCCAGTCTGTCTCTTCTTACCACAGAGCTTCATGACTCAGGGCAGGGGCGTGGAGAAGCGAGGTGGGTGGAGCTTCGCTCAACCTCTTAGGGTCTGGGAGCTTTAACAGGCAGGAGCTGCCAGTGTCTTTGAAACCCTGGTGTCCATCCATGTTCGTTATTGACCCCCAGACAATAAACATCTGTCAGTTCTGCCGTGCAGAGTGTGGCAGGTGTTTCAAGGGCAAAGGTCATGGTCCTAAGAGCTGCAACTGAAAGAATTAATTCCCTTACTATATTCTGCTGAAACAGCCTCCCGTATGCTTATACTAGACATAACCCAGATGTGCCAAAATAGTCTCCCTGTTTTAAGTCTAGGGACTGGCCCCTTTTCACATAACCTAACAGTCACATGACACAGTCACTTGGGGAAGAAGGCATGGTAATCTGGTGGTGAGGGGACACGGCCATTGAACACTGGGCCAGTCTGAGGGCACCTGGCGTTGGTCACTGCAAGCGTGAGCTCACTACCTGCAGAGACAGGAACCAGGGAACCAGCCTATTCTTAAAATCTTAAAGACGACATCATCAATTAATTTGATTAATTTGTGTGTGTATGTGTGTGTGGGAGAGAGAGAGAGAGAGAGAGAGGGAGAGAGAGAGAGGCGTGTGGAAGGCAGCTCTTCTGCTACCATGTAGGCCCTAGATACGCAGTTAAGTCACCAGGCTTGGAGCAAGCAGCTTTGTCACCAACCCAAAAAATGACACCTTTAAAATGATGGCCGACTGCTATCTGGCTTTGGCTTTCACTTATTTTTTAATATCTGTTTATTATTTTTACTTATGTGTATGTATGTGTGCCTGTGTGTGGCTATGTGTGCCCAGCACGTGACCATGGAGGGCCCCGGGGGCGTCTGATCCCAGGGAACTGGCAAGTGTGAACTAACTGCCTGGTCCCGTCGGGGCTGGGAACTGAACCCAGTCCTCTAGGCAGGAGCTCTTTGCTGTTGTTTCTCGGTGTAGCCCTGGCCGTCCTGGAACTCACTCTGTAGACCAGGCTGGACTCGAACTCAGAGATCCACCAGTCTTTGCTTCCAGAGTGCTGGGATTAAAAGCGTACGCCACCACCGCTCAGTGGCCATCTCTTCAGCTGCTCAGCTTTCACTTAGGATCTTGGGTTTGCCTCTCACAATCTTCAGGAAGGAGCCTCATTATTTATAAGGGAAGCCAGGCTCAGGTGGGGACTAGCAAGATTCTGTGGCTTGGGGGGGGGGCAGTGTTCCAGACTAAGCCCTCCTCCATAAGCTTTATTCTGTTCCCAGGAAGCCTTTGCCAGCACGCCCAGAGCAAGTGGTGTGGCCCTAAATGACAGTTATTGTTTGGGGCTGAGGTGTCCCCAGCACTGGCCCCCAGTGTGTGCGCCATCACAGGGCTGTGTGGACTCTAGGCCTAGGGCCTGGCAGGGCGGAGCGGGTCAGCAGAGACTGATCTTTGAAAGTTTTAGCACTCCCTGGTTCTAGCCTGCTCTCTCTGCCTCTGCCTCTTGGTCAGTTTCACATGAGTCATGACCATGCGATCTCACCTTAAATGTGACAGGCCAAGAAGCAGTCCTCAGCCTTAACCAGAACTTACTCTTTTTAGTAAATCCCAATAGCAAGGTTTTGTTTTGTTATTTTTTTTAAATCCCTAGATAATTTGTCTCTTCCTGATAGAAAAATACAAAGATTACCTACCTCAAAAGAATGGTAAGAGAAAGAAAATGTACACAAAACTTGGTAGTTGCAGGGGAGCTGTAGAGATAGTACCCAGACAGGAGACTCTCTAGTGCCCATTAGTTTTAGGTTATTGGGACTTACTGTCCGTGGGGTGGGGGTGGGGAGCCCACGGCTAATTAGAAAGTTTGGACATTCCTTCAAGCTAGAAGAATAATGGCCATGACACCCTTAAACTCTCACATGTAGACACACACAGAGAGAGAGAGAGAGAGAGAGAGAAAGAGAGAGAGAGAGAGAGAGAGAGAGAGAGAGAGAGAGAGAGAGAGAGAGAGAGAGAGAGAGAACAGTACATGGGAGCCTGGACTCTTCAGTGCAGGTGATTAACTAAAGAGTTTCAGGCTGTCCATTAGGTTTTGCTTGTTTTGTTTTGCTGATCTACAGCAAATGGCTGCCACCTAACAAAGCAACAGAGAGTAATCGTGAACCGTTTTGGGTCCAGGATTTTCATGCTACCCGTGGACCCACTGAAAGGGTTTGATGTTATAAACTTTCCCTTCAAAGCCTTGTTTCTGGGGGCTGGAGAGATGGCTCATGGCTCAGCATCTAAGGAGACTTGCTGCTCTAGCAGAGTCCCAGCACCTACATGGCAGCTCACAACTATTTATAACTCCAGTTCTGGGAGACCCGATGTCCTCCTTTGCCTCTCTACAGACACTATCCACTCAAGGGGCACACATGCATACATGCATGCAAAAGACCCACACACCGTTAAAAAAGGCCATCCATAACCTATTGGACAGTATGCGGAATCTTCCCACTACCTGCTGGCCACACAATCCCTTTGACTACGAAGTTCCAAGATGGGGTCTCTCTGTGTAGCCCTGGCTGTCCTGGGATCAGGCTGGCCTTGAACTCAAAGACCACAAGCTTCTGTCTCCTAGGTGCTAGTATTAAAGGTGTGAGCCACCACTGCCCTGCAGGCAGGTGTGTGTGTGTGTTTAAAAAAAAAAAAAAAAAAAACACTGAAATATTTAAAGTATGAAAACTTGAAATTGTTACTTGTTAAAAGAGTGGTATGGAAATCTAAGATTTGCACAAGTGCCTTCCACTTTCAAAAGACGCAAGGATCCAGTTTGTTGTCAAGGAGCTACAGACCAAAACTTTTGTGATATATAATAAAAGTTAATCATTAGAGAGATGGCAGTGCCCTGCAATGTCAGTTGTAAAGTTTCTAAATATGTGTACCAACCCCTGGACTCAGCAAGTGAATTAGTTTACAGACACCCTCTGTGGCCCTGAGACCAAGTATCACCACTTGTCACCACACAACTGGGGCAGACACAGATTGCTTAAGACAAAATTGGGGAACATCAGAGTCGGGGTTAAACCATTTGTAATCAGGGAGCCTCTCTCTGTGAGAGCCTCTGCCCTTAGGGAGAAAGGGATCTTAAGGCAATTTCGAGGGAGGGGTGTTGGTGGCCAGCCCCTCAGACACCTTCAAAAGGGAATGATCAGGAGATAGATCATTTACCTAGTGCCAAACTTATAAATAAATAAGCAACAAACAACAAAAGCAAGCCCGGCAGCGAGTGGCCCAAGCTGGCAGGAAACTTCGGGACCCTCCCCCCTCCTTTCTCAGCCTGAGGATTTTCCCCCCAGGCTTGCACCACGCACTCCCGGTGGACTCCAGAGACCCAAGTTTAGATATGATCTCTGCGTGGGAAAGAACCCAGCAAAACATAAACAAATGCACGGAGTGTTCTTGGTCACTGAGGCCTTCTGTCATTGGTTTTGATGACCTATAGCTGTTAATATATATCAGGTAGTGCCCGAGGCAGGAGGCTGAGCCCAGGTAAAGGGCCCCCTAGGTGGAGTAGGGCAGAGTTGGAATTCCAAGTCTGGCCCAGCGGATCCCCGGTCCTCACACACGAGGGAAGGGGGCCCCCACCCCACCCCAGAAACTGAGCACCAGGGTTCGCAGGCCGCCCAAAGCCGATGTCAGTCCTCGCTGACCTCCCTGGCACCAAACCGAGACCGGAACCTCCAGGCTCGGAATCCCCCGCGGTCCGGGCCACTCTCAGGGCGGCTCCCCCTCCCGCGGACTCCTCGGGGTCGGTCCCCTGGCGATCGCGGGCGCCCGCAGATCGGGAGCCGCTGCCGACCGCTCCCCGCCCCCGCCCGCGCCCCGCGCCCGCCCCGGTGCAGGCTCCCGGCGGCTCCCACGCGTGGCCGCGGCGGCCGCGGAGGCCGCGGGGACCGGGATCTAGGGCCGCGCTTACCTAGCGGGGGCGCAGCGGCGCCGAGGCCACCGAGCAGCAGCCACAGCGGCCACAGCGGCGGAGGCCGCATGGCCCGGGCGGCCCGGGACCGCGGGGTGGACGCCGCTCACAGCCGGACCGCGGCGGCCATGGCGAGCCGAGCGCCCGCCTCTTCCCCGCCGGGCGCAGCCGCCCCGCCCCGCCCGCCCCGCCCGCCCCGCCCGCCCCAGCCCTGCCCGCGGGGACTTTCCCCGGTGTTCCCGGGAACCGCGGTCCCCGCAGCCCAGCACCCTGCCGCGGTGGCCCCGGGCGCGCCCCGCGGAGCCCACCTCCAGGCGCGGCCAGGGACCTCCCGGGGACCGTGCTCGGGGGGGGGGGGACCCGGGACGCACAAGCCCCAGCTCCCTCTCTTTCTGACTCCCGCGGCCCTACATCGGAGAATTTGTCCATTTGCTGTGACTTCTGTCCTCTTTAACGGCCCCAAAGTACATGCTAACCTTTGGACCCTTTGTAGAAGAGGGTTACTTAGGGGCGCAGTGGATGGAGAGGGTCACCGAGAAGGAGGAAGGGAAGCTAGAGGAACCTCGCTGCTGCTCGTTGCTTAATAATCTGTGGGTTTGGCCCTGTGTGGCTGAGAAACGAGGAGGAAGTGATCCCAGAGCGGGACAGGCAGACAGGCTCCCCCCGCCTGAGTCTTCTCAGAGGTAAGCCTCTTGGTAGAGAAGTTTGCACCTGCTCCGCCCTCCAACTCAGCCACGAGGAAGGGGTAACAAAAGGAACGGGTAGAAGGCGACCGAGAGTCAAAGACAAGGGGACTCCGAACCCGGGCCCTCTATAAGAGCAGCAACTGCGTGAGCCTAACCCCCGTCCTCTATTCCCTTCATCTTTGGTGACGTAAGGCCTCAGGTAGCCCTGCTTGACTTCAGACCGGCTGTAGTGGAAGCTGGCTTTGAACTTCGGATCCCCCAAGTCACTTTCTCATGGGCCCAGACACTCTCCTGCGTGTGTGACTCTTGACGTTGGCCTGTGTGCAGGCTGGTTTCGTCTGTGGCAGCTGCTTATCACAAGCTAGAGTCATCAGGGAGGACCCTCAGCTGAGGAGATGTCTCCGTGAGATCCAGCTGTAAGGCATTTTCTCAATTAGTGATGGATGGGAGAGGGCCCAGCCCATCGTGGGTGCGGACACCCCCGGCAGGTGGTCCAGGCTTCGATAAGAAAGCCCTGAGGAGCAAGCCTGTGAGCATGACCTCCCTGATGAATTGTTATATGGTACTGTGAGAGAGAGAAACCCCTCTCTCCTCAAGCTGTTTTGTTGGTCATGGTGTTTTGTCACAACAATAAAAACCCCAAGATAGCCTGTTATGAAAAATGTGGTGAAGTACCTAGCAAGAATTTGAATCATGCCTTTAGTATTTTAAGACACAAAAATGTACTTACGGGCCAAGTGATAACAGCAGGGTTTGCCAGGGCCCTTTTCAACATGATGTGCTGGAAACGGCAAACGGGAGAAAAGCTAAGGCACAGAGAAATGTTTCTCTCTCTCTCTCTCTCTCTCTCTCTCTCTATATATATATATATATATATATATATATATATATATATATATATACACACACATGTGTGTATATTTCCCCCCAGGTATTATGTTAAGGAAAGAGGCTTGTGTGTTTGCCTTAGCTGAGGCCATAAATGGCTTGTGACCACTGACCCCAGATGGGAATTCTTTAGAAGCCTTGCCATCCCACACAGCCCCTCCCACTGCAGAGTCTCTCCCCTGAGCTCTTCTCTGCTAAAACTGAGGATTTGTTTTCCTTGAAGAAGTCATAGGCACAGTGCCAAAGGGTTGCACCCCACACCTCAAGCATGCAGCACCCCCAGTGCAAGTGAATGACTCTCCTTCCTCCAAGGCCACTTTGTCAGGGCAAGGCCAACTCTCTCTGTGGGCCAGGCTGGCCTCAAACTCAGAGATGCACCAGTGTGTGCCACCACTGCCCTGCAGGGGTGTGTGTGTGTGTGTGTGTGTGTGTGTGTGTAAATATTTCAGTGTCTTTTTTTTTTTACTTGTTAACAGTGGTATGGAAGATTTGCACAAATGGCTTCCACTTTCAAAAGACCCAAGGATCCAGTTTGTTGTCAAGGAGCAAAACTTTTGTCAAAGAGCAAAACTTTTATGATAAATAATAAACGTTAATCATTAGAGAGATGGCAGTGCCCTTCCGGCAGAGGATGCCCTTGGTAAATGGCTCTTCTGCACAGATAACAGGAACTCACTGGCACTTCCTGTGAAAGGCTGGACAGTCTTTCCCTCCATGCGCCTGTATAACATTGAGTAACATGACTCCATTTCTGCATATTCGCTCAGCTGCGTTCCCAGCTGTTTCTCCCCTTTGGAGGCAAGTTTACTGTGGGCACAGCCAAAAGGTGAAACCTCGGGGCATTTCATTTGCATCTTCTGAGACCAGGGGGCAGGAGCTGTTCCTGACTGCATGTACGCGGTCACATGTTCTTAAAAACAATTTTCTATTTTTAATGTGTACGTGTGTGTGTGTCTGTGTGGACCACACGTGTGCAGGAGGCCTGTGAAGTCAGGAGAGACATCACACCCCCGGAACTGTGAGCTGCCATGTGGGTGCTGGGAACCAAACCCGGTCTTCTGCAAGAGCAGCCAATGCTCTTAACCGCTGAGCAGGCTCTCCATCCCCTGGTCATGTGCTTTTGTGAAATCTGCAGAGAAGGAGATTTCGGCCACTGTTACAACCTCTGTGTCTTTCCTCTTTGAGTTTCTTTCTGAGACTTCTGATGTCTCAAGGAAGTGTAGGGTGCCTGGGAGTCTTGAGAAAGGTTATGATGTTCTATAGCATACATAGATATAGATCAGGGTTAGCTGTGAAGTTAAAAAAAAAAAAAGACACTTTCTAAGCCAGCAGTCACAAAAAGCAAACTTTAGGGGCTGGAGCACTGGCTGCTCATGCAGAGGACCCAGGTCTGGCTCTCTGTAGTCATGACAGTAGCCCTCAGCCTCTTGCAACTCCAGTTCCAGGGGACCCTGCTGGGGAGCAGTCTGTGTGTGCTCTGTGAGTGCTTGTTGCTCTCACTGGCTTGATAAAGGGCTCAGTGTGCAGGAGCTGGGCAGGCAGACATTAGGTGGGACTTGTGAAGGGAAAGAGAGAGGGGATGAAGAAGGGGGAGTCGCCAGAGGAAAGATGAACATGCCTTGCTGGAAAAGGGTACCGAGACATGGTTGAGCTGAGATTAGAAATGCGGGTTAATTTATGCTGTAAGACTAGTTAGTAACAAGCCTAGTTTTTGGCTGAGCACTCATAATTAATAAGAAGTCTCTGTGTGGTTATTTAGGAGCTGGCTGGTGGACAGAAAAGCCTGCCTGCAGGGTCCAACAATCTCATTTGGACTCTGGGTCTGGCACTCATGTTGCACACACTCACATACCCACTGACAGAGACACATTGTAAAATAAAATATCGAGAAAGCAAATTTTGGCTAGTCATGCTAGAGGAAAAACTAAGTGTATTTGTATGTGAATGTGTTCACCTATATAGAGTTGAACGCTTGGCATTTTACATCACACTTACACATTTCTCCACTAATTGTGAAGTTAAAAGCAGCTTCCTGAACTTATCATTTAAAAAGCAAATTTTGATAAATCATGTCACAGAAGGTACTGAATGCCTGCCTTCCTGTTTCCAAATGATTCTATGTGCAGTCTCCATAGAAGCAAGGGTAACAGTAAAAGAAGCTTACTTGCTGCTTTTATTATAAATTTATAATATTTATAAATTATAAACCAAGGTGAAAGTAACAATGTTCCCTTATTTCTCTAGCGTTTTGTGATGCTAGTGTATTTGGCAGCCTTAAAATGGTTGTTTGTTGTTTATTTTCTCATTACACATTAATACCATTGTGCTTAGCTTTATATTCTTTATTGTCCATTATTTTATATGAAGAGAGTTCACATATATCATGTGAACTTTAGCTCTACAAAACCCGAATCTGCCCCCCTCCCCAACTTCTTTCCAGAAGTCACTGCCTTCCATACCCTACCCCACCCCCACCCCGCCCCGCCCCAAGCAGGTGGAACAAAGTAGCTTTGTTCTTGTTCACGGAGAGTTTCGGTCTGTCACAGCAAGGGCAGCGCAGCCGCAGGAGTGAACGGTGGAGGTTGTCACGGGGCCCTGAGAGCTAGGAAGGCACGGGGCAGGCGCAACCTTGGAACACCCACCCCGGGAGGGGGCAGCGAGGAGGGTCCTCAGCCTGCTGAATTAGCGCCGCCAGCTGGTTGGTGGCCAAGATTTAAATCATGAGCTTGCGGTAGGACGGTTGAGATTCAAATGAAAGCGGCAGGAAAAAGCGCATTCCCTTCGGTCTCCCGGACCTGGCCGCTCCCAGTGGGAACTGGAAAGGGAGGACCCGGGGTTTGGTTTCCTTGGACTCTGGATGGAGGAGGGGTGTCATGAAACGTCTTGGCTTTTGTTAGTTCGGAGACCCTCAGATTCATCTGTTTTCTAGAAAGATTAAGATTATATCGTGTGTGTGTGTGTGTGTGTGTGTGTGTGTGTGAGAGAGAGAGAGAGACAGAGAGAGAGAGAGAGAGAGAGAGAGAGAGAGAGAGAGAGAGAGAGAGAGAGAGAGATCCTGCAACGCTCCAGGAAGAGCTTGGCAGGTGAGCACGTTAGAGCTGTTTGGGACAGACTCCAGACTCGATGCAGTGGCAGTAACTCTTAAGTCACAGAGGACAGCATGGGACTGGGGAGTGCGAGCCCCTGCACGTGCCTGTTTCTACAGCAGTTCTTTTCCTTTTTTATTTTATTTTATGAGTACAAGTGTTTCGCTTGCATGTGTGTCTCTGAACCACGTGCAGGCCTGGTGCCCACCGAGCTCAGAAGAGGGTATCAGACCACGGTGTGAGCTGCCCAAGTGCGTGCTGGACATCCAACCAAGGTTCTGTGCTAGAGCATCCAGTTCCCTTAAATGCTGAGCCATCTCTTCAGCCCCTCTTCAATAACTTATCACCAACCCCAGAACAACCAAAAGAATGTCACCTTATCTGCTCTATGGGCTAAAAATGATTATCCCAGCTGTCTTTGCAAACATCCACTCAAATACCCTTTCTAATATTTCCCATACCTTGACCATTGTGACTCCCCTTGTTTTAAGAATATATATTTGACAGT